TATATAGTGTTAAAACCACCATCAAAAGATAAGGAGAACACAGGGAAGGGGAGAGATGAGGAGAACACATGGATGGGGGGAAGATGAGAACACAGGGGGAAATGAGAATACAGAGAGGGGGTATATGAGGAGAACACACAGGGAGGGATGAGGAGAACACAGGGGGAAACACAAGGGGAGATGAGAACACAGGGTAGAGGAGAACACAGGAGAACAGGGGAGATGAGAACACAGGGGGGAGAGGAGAACACACAGGGAGGAGGAGAACACAGGGGAGATGAGGAGAACACAGCTAGAGATGAGGAGAACACGGGGAGATGAGGGGAACACGGGGAGATGAAGAAACAAGGGGAGATGAGGAAAACACGGGGGGAGATGAGGAAAACACAGGGGGAGATGAGGAGAACACGGGGGAGATGAGGAGAACACAGGGGAGATGAGGAGAGAGATGAGAACACGGGGGAGATGAGGAGAACACGGGCAGATGAGGAGAACACAGGGGGAGATGAGGAGAACACGGGGGGAGCTGACAACACAGGGAGGGGTGAGATGAGAACACAGGGAGGAGGGGAAGGGTGTGAGGAGAACGTGGGGGAAGGAGAGACCACTAAAGGAGGGCGGGGTGGTGGCGAGACCACTAGGAGAGGGTGGGGGGAGAGCAGAGACCACTAAGGGAGGAAGGGTGGTGAGGGAGTCCACTAAGTGAGGGGGAAGAGTCCACTAAGGGAGGGAGGAGGGGTGTGAGAAGAACATAGGTGGAAGGGTGGAGAGACCACTTATGGAGGGAGGGGGTGGTGGAGAGACCACTGGGGGGGAGCAGAGACCACTAAGGGAGGAAAGGTGGTGAGAGAGTCCACTAAGGGAGGGAGGAGGGGTGTGAGAAGAACGTGGGTGGGGGGGTGGAGACCACTAAAGGTGGGGGGGTTGGAGGAGAGACCACTACAGGAGGGTGGGGGGAGAGGAGAGACCACTAATGGAAAGGTGGGTGAGAAGAGACCACTAGGGGAGGGTGGGGAGAGAGAGTACTAAGGATGGGGGGGAGACAACTAATGGAAAGGGGGGGCAGAGGAGAGCAGAGACTACTAAGGGGGAGATGAGAGACCACTGTGGCGAAACCGACCTCGCCACTGGGCATTGGAAAAGACTGATTGCCAGCCTCCTGCCATGTGACTATGGCCCCTGGGAGGTATTGCCCTTTAAAGACATGATTTGGGCATAATGGATCTGTGTTGTCCTGCTGCTGGCCCTTTAAGAACCATCTGGGGACATACTGGAGTTACTGGGTGTCCACCATTTCCTGTATCAGAGGCACATGGTGAGAACAATGGATGGCGGCCATTTTAACTCACAGACACTGTTTGGACTTTTCAGCACGGTGCCATCTCGCCGGTATTTGGTGCACAGAGACATCGTGCAGTGGTTTTGGACTATACAACAGGGGACACAATATACAGTTATTGTTTTTCATTTAGCCTGCATATGTTCTGTGGAATCTGCATTAAACTGTATCTTCCAAAGTACTGAACGGATCTGGGTGAATTTTGGATATGTGGTTCACTCAGATCCCCTGGTTCCAATGATATACTTTACTTTATTGGGTTATTGCATGTTTTGGGGACCCTGTGATGTCTTTTATGAATATTTCTCTGTCTATGATAATTAGATTACCCATTGTGTAGGGTAATTGTATCACAGGCAGAGGGGAGGATTTTGTGTGGGAGTGTCTGTGTGTATTGTACAGATTGATTGGTTGTTCTGTAAAACCCTGTGGGCAGTACTAAATTTGTGGATTGGGAATAAAAGAGGCTGTATGTGCCAGTACAGTCAGTTCCTGCTTAACCCTCACAGTGAAGTGTCGTCTCATTATTGGGGGAGGATTTATTGTATGCTGTTCCAGTTTGACTGCTAGGAGTGTAAACCTATTCGCATGGTTTTTCCTATTCGGCTGTATACAACATTCATATGCTCCTACGGTTCGGTGGTTTTGGTGTCTGCTGCAGTGCTTGGAGTCCTCAGGAAGCGCTAGGAGCATCCTTCAACGGAGGTACCCAGTCGGGGTGCCAGGTGATCCGTTACACCCACTAATGTAAAGTCGGGGAGAAAAGGAGAGACCGCTAAAGGGAGGGGGGGAGGAGAGTAGAGACCACTAAGGGACAGGGGAGGAGAGGAGAGACCACTAAGGGGCAGGAAGGGAGAGCGCTATAGGAGAGGGGGCAGGACAGGGAGCTCTTTCACACTACATACACACACAATGCATCCCTACACACACAGAAACACGCTATGCAACCCTTACACATAAAGACCATGCATCCTTTGAACACATACACAGAAACACACTGTATCCCTTACACACACATGCAAACAGACAGAAACACAATGCATCTCTTACACACACTCAATGCACCCCTTCCAGACACACACACACTGCATCCCTTACATACACAGAAACGCACCTTGCATCCCTTATGCATACACACACAGATTCACACAATGCATTCATTACACACAACCAGAAACACACAATACATCCCGTATGCACAAACACACACTGCTTTCTATCCCTTATACAAAAACACACGGCTTCCACTACACACAAACATCACCTACACAAACTGGTATCCCTATACACTACATTCCATAAGCACACACATTAGATCCTCTACATTAACACATCCCCTACATACTCCACTCTCTGTGAGCGAACTCATTGGTGGAAAAGGTAGGTGGACTTATGGGTGGACCTTATGGGCATACTCACCGTCAGGCTGGGGGCCCAGACCTTGAGCTGTGTAAGGGGCCCCCAAAAAATGGAGCTGCTTCCCGTTCTCCCAGAACATTGAATTTTGTGACCACAGTTACAACCAGCCTCCAGAGATCCTGTTCTACACCAGACCAGTGGAGCCAAACTGCAGCCAGAGCCCATCACCATCCTCATCTGGTTGTAAGTAGGCAATCCAGTATATTATCAGTGACATGAATCTCTAATTTACCTCACATTAAAGGGACACCATAGTCCCTAGAACCACTGCAGCTTAATGAAGTGGTTCTGGTGTCTATAGCCTGTCCCTGGAGGCTTTTTAATGTAAACACACACTGTGTGCAGCACTGGGGTTAGTTTAAATGGCTGATCATATGGGTGGGGCTTTGTGATGTCACATGCCTAGGGCGGCAAAAATCCTTGCACCGGCCCTGGGCAAATCACAGGCAGAGCCAGCACAGCCCAAACAGGGCCCTGGCTAATCAGCATCTTCTCATAGAGATAAATTGAATCAATGCATCTCTGAGGAAAGTTCAGTGCTTAATATCACTGCCGCAAGAAGGACCTCTAGTAGCCATCTGAGGAGTGGTCAGTGGAGTTATCAATAGGCTGTAATGTAAACATTGTCTGAAAAGACAGTGTTTACTGCAATAAGCCTGAAGGTAATGATTCTACTCACCAGAACAAATACAATAAGCTGTAATCGTTCTGGTGATTATAGTATCCCTTTAACACTTATAGCCTTGATCATCAAATGTTGCAGCTCTATTTTTAATACTAATTTTATTTCATCTATTTACATGCAGTAGTCCAGTTTTATTAACATTTTGAGGCCATACCTTTCACAGAAACACTGTGTTCAATACTTTGCATTTGGAGTTCCTTCGTCTAGTCAATCATATTTGAAACTGGTAAAGAGATGGATGATGTCCAATGCTCGTACACTAGATTAATTATGCTTACATATAGATGCACAAGGCTCCAAAGGCAATACAATTAATAGATATAACACAGCTTCGATATAGACACTAATTTGCAGGAATAGACCAAATATCATACCTGGTACAAAACAGCTTTATTAGGTCTTATATTTGACCCATCCAAACTGCTCTGTAGAGAATGAAAAGCTGCCCATTTTAACATTTACAGACACTGATAACCAACTTACTGTGCAAAACAAAGTTGTACCATGCGGATTTAGGAGATTCCACTAATAAAACATTCGCCTTGGGTTGCAATATAGAAGAGGTTTGCCTGCCATTTCTGATCTGGACTAGCTTTAGTTGAGAGTAAGTTATTAAGCCCTGCTCATTGTCTGCATTCCAGAATACACAGATACACTGTTAACATAGGTCATAAAATTAATTTGGATATTTAATCATGAGAAGAAAAAGATATTGTGAATGGCAAAATGCATTATTTATAATAATATCCAGAAATAATTTCTCCAAATTGTTTACTTACAAAGAAAGAGGGAGGGGAAAAAATGGGAGAAACAGAGAAAGTTACACAAGGAAAATTGGAGCAGAATATATTAGAGCCAAGGAAAAATAAGAGGAAAAAAAAACAAAACATATGGGAAAAAGGAGGAGTGAGAGTGAAAAATACAGTATATGGAAACAAGGGAAAAACACACCACGTTAATGGATAGACAGAAAGATAGAGAATGTATGATGACAAGGGGGAGAGAGAAAGAGTCCTATATCAAGCGAAAATATACAGATACCATAGAAACCTAAACATTTTGCAAAGTAAAAGAATAACAAAAAAACAATATGGCATGGGGATAACTGTGTTAGATGACAAGGGTTATTTATGGGATGAAAGAGACATACAGATTGTAGAAAAGGGTAGTACAAATGGATTATCCGTAAAGAAAACCAAACAGGAATGAAAACACAGAGAGATGTTCATCAGAAGGAACAAGGAGGTAGATTAGTACAAGTGTTTAATAAGTGCAGTTTACTTTCTTTGCACTAATTCCAATTCTCCTTCTGCCTGACTCCATGACATCCCTGTCATAGGGTAACAAGTTCACGGCAGCTTGATTTAAATGTATCATTATAGACACCATAAGCATTGAGCCATTTTAAAAAGGATGTTCAGACAAATTCACCTAGTTTTTTTTCCTTTAGTGATTAAAGCAACACTATAGGGTCAGGAACACAAACCTGTATTCCTGACCCTATAGTATTAAAAGCACTATTTAGATGCTGGCCCTGCCCCTGATCTGCCTTCTTGGCTGATATCATAGGAGAGTATTGGATTGACTGAGATCGTCAAATCTGATGATCTCAGCCAAGGAGGTGGAGCGAGGGGGAGAGTCAAACGCCACCATGGCCAATAAGCATCTCCTCATAGAGATGCATTGAATCAATCACACTGTGCAGCACTGCCCCAAGGGCCACCTTTGCCACACTTATTCCAATTTTGCTTAATTGTTTTTCCTTTAACCACCTTCTGTCTTAACTCTAAAAACCTTCTGCTCGATGCAGATTTTGAAATCCTTCATTTTCTTTAAATTTAATTTTTTCAAACTTTAACCCTCCTCCCTCCTTTAACCCTAATAAACAAGGCACATAGACTTACAAAATGAATCATAAAATGAACTCAAGATAAAAGAGAAAAGCTTTAATTAACTCAGCTTTGCTTGAATAGGCAGTCACCCATGTATTTGTAGAAAACCAAAAATATATACAAAGATTCACTTCAGAAATGCATATAATTTTACTTACAAATATCTGTCTGCTCAAAAATTTAAACAAACTTTTGCGGCACTTAATGTCCTGTGTGTTTCTTGAGCATGTGTATTTATATATATTTATATTTATACATAGATTTTTTTTTCTTAAATAAAATTTTTACAAACTGTATAGAATTTGAAGGTTTTCAGTAAATCTGATTACATGCCCTGGGGAATCTGTTAGAGGGAAGAAAAAAAACAAAAAAAATATAAAAACAAAATGGAAGATGGTTCTGAACTCTTGTTTCTGAGTCTCCAGAGGTTTCTGTAAGTAATAATGATAGGGAGTTGAGGTATTTAGCCACGCACACAAAGAGGTTGCAGCAATAGCATAAAAATCAATGTTAGCACAGAAAAATCCCAAAACGTACAAAAAAAACCAAAAATAATAATAATACTAATAACTCCTTTAGGGCTGAAGGGGTTATACAAAGTAGTCTTTCCAGGTGCAGCTACTTGTTAAGATGGGCTGCACGGAGCATAGAAAGTCCAAGGTGACTGTGTGCACTTATGAGAAAACCAGGCTAGTTTGTCAACAGGTGTTGAGAAAGTTGGGAATGGAATTCGGTGGAGGGATGACGACTCTTTTGAACGTTCATGCAAAGTACTGTTGAAGTGCTGTTTTTGCCCTGAGGGAAAACATGAAGCAAACAATTTTGTTTCATTAGCATTCTAAACTAAGTACTGTAATCATTCTGGCAAATGCTATTAACTGTATAATAAATTAAAATTGTGATATAAGAAAAATTGGTTCCTTCAATGACCCATATTGATTATGTATAGAGGGAATATTACAGCCAGAAAAAGATAATAAATAAACAAAAAATATTCCTACATTATTTCTTTGGAACATTAAAAGACAGACAAATTGCTGTTCAGCTTTAAGTATGGAATTTGAGAAGATACTCAGCAGGTATCACGCAGCAAAGTCTGAAACTGTAAAAAAAACTATCTATAACTAATCTCTGAAAGTAATATGGCTTTTACAGCAAATGAATGGAATCAAGAGGAGGAAATGTAAAAGGAATGTATTATTAAAGTTACTTAATATTATATTAGGGTGAAAAGTGTAATTCCTGTTGAAGCACAGTTTATATATTTATCCCAATTTAAATTTCTCCAATAAGATTACACCTAAAACCACATTTCGAGTCCAGGTTTCTCTGCTAAACACTTACTTGTCACAGAGATTTGGATCTGTTGACTGGCTAAGTTTGTGGAGTATTTCAACAATTCCGATTTCCCGCAGTTTATCTTGGCGTTCTTGTGAACCTAGGGATAGAACAAAGAAGACTAAATTATTGAACTCGCAAAAAAACTTCATGATCTCACTAGTCAAAAACATATACCCTACTTTTTAATTGAGACCAACTGTAAGACTAACAAAAGCAATTATAGAAGAGTTCTACCAGTTATAAAAGATTTAAAAATGGTCATGTTGTCTTGAGTCTGTATGTAAACCTCCAACAGCAGCACTGGAGCATCCATTAGCCAGCCTGGAACAAGATTTCCTGCCTGGATAATGTTAAAGGGACACTCCAGGCACCCAGACAACTTCTGCCCATTTGAGTGGTCTGGGTGGCAACTCCCATCACCCATAATCCTGCAAGTGTAATTATTGCAGTTTTTATAAACTGCAATAATTACCTTGCTGGGTTAAGTCCTCCTCTAGTGGCTGTCTATCAGAGTGTAAAGGTTTTTTTTAAACAATGCTGGACGTCCTCACGCTATGCATTGAATAATGCTTTCCTATGGGGAGGTCTAATGCGCGCGGCCATAACTGGATTCAGGTAAGTGTCTGAAGGAGTTTTAACCCCTTCAGCAACATGGGATGGAGAGGGGCACTGCAGCATCCTGCCTGGAACTGGAGAGTCCCTTTAATTCTCTGCATGTTTCTATGCACAGAATTGCACTCATTGGTTGACAGTGGTGAGCCGACACGCTCAACTAATGAATGGCTGAGATGACCAACTTCTGATTCTGCAGAAGCCAGATGTTGTCACCTTCTGTAGAGAACTTTTGGAGTCCGGCCAGGACCTAGGTAAGAGGATAACCATTGCAAAACAGTTTTCCTTATTACTGGAAAAATGGGCCAGGGTACTCTTGGCATCAAACATTTTTTATTTTTTTTTGAAGGTTTTTATTTATTTATTTTTAAATTTGTATTTCAAAATTGTAAGTAGTACAACATTTTCATGCGGTAAATCAAAATACAATGAAATAACATTCGTTTCATCAGATTTTTCTTGAAGTGTCTGCCACAGTTACCTAATTGGTGGTTGCTGGTGCTATGTAGGAACGATACAAGTGAGCATACTGATATCATAAACATGAAGTTTGAGCATACAATTACACTTAAGCAAATGGTTATATATTTCCCCTGGCTAATAACAGTATACCCTATTTCCAATCATCATGCGGCATTGTGTCCAGCCTTGGACATGTGGGCATTTGAGGGCTTAACTATGTTTGATTGGGTTCTGGGGGTATTGTGAGGAGGGAGAGAGTGATTGCATTTGGGCGCGGGAGTTTCTGGCCTACTTTGCGAGCTTGAGGAGGTATTGGGTCCATGGGTACCAGATCTCTGTGTATTGAAGGTACTGATTTTGGCATCATAACTTGGGAGTAACCCTTTAACATTTATTTAATTAGCTATAAACCATTTCCAGATATTTGGACAGCCAGTGGTACGATTAATCAAAATGTTGAAAGAAAACTCTTAAAGAGTCTCCTCATTTCGCAGAGGGAGTGCCAGAGACAACCATTAATTTTTCATTCAAGCAAGATAGTTCATGATGTTTGTTATTCAAACCAATCTGATCCCATCTACTGTAACCCTGTCATCAGACACAACTTGCCAGAGCCGTAAGAGTGATCTGCTCAAATTCTTGTTACAAAAATCACAAAAAGGATACTGGTGTAAATCTTAAAAAGAAACCACATTATAAGAGTTTATAACAGTGTTATTTAAACAGAAATTGGCACTTTAATAATTGGGACAGGAACATCACCCTGGCTGTCACTCATACAGACAGGGATGTTTTTTCTGCTTGTGTTAGCTCAGAGTTAATGGAAGCGGCACTCGTGCTTCCTAGAAAGTGTGCCTGCCTTCTTCTTTACTCAGTTAGCTGTACAACTCATTGCATCTTATGATACATTGTTTTGGCTTACTTTTAAACTGGCCTTCAGAACTAAAATGAACTCAATCTCTTGGTCAGACCATGCAGAAAATGCCATTTATATTTCCACACCTTACATGTCTTCCACATGGACTGCTGGAACTTCATTCCTCCAAACGCAAACTGAAATCTAAACATAAAGCGAACCCCTCCGCGTGTTCCCTTAACGACCTTCGTGCAGTGCGTTCAGCCTTTAAACATCTGCTGCTGGATGACATGGCACCAGACAGGCATAGATACCATACAAACTGCCTCCAGCATTCCAAAACCTCCAAACACTGTGTGTGTGTGCACATTACATAGAAGGTAACGCACATTACCTAGATTTTGCTGTGCAACTCAAACAAATGTGAGAAGCATATAGATGAAAGGTATGGGTGTACTGTGGGTTGGTAGCAGGACATAAAATGAACTCGAACTCACCTTCCTCTTCATTCCATGTGAGGTTCGCTATACAGAACATAGCTGCCAGTTGCAGCTTCAGGTTAGAATGACCCTGAATAATAGGACAGGATGAAATAAAGAGATGAATATTCAGTATAATTTCTTTACTTTTTCAATTTCTTAACATTCCTTGTTCAGTTAACATACAGAATTATGTGCTATTGAAATTAACGAATGTCAAGAGGATTCTATTGTTATTATTTAAGGTAAGTTATATTTGTTTGTGTCACTAGTATGCCCAAAGATTCCTCCACTGATAAATACTGTTCGTAATAAAATTTAATATGTTAAACAGATCTACATAACATGCAGGGTCATATCTTGACCATATTTTCCTACCACATAATACTTTATTTTCTGCAAGATGTCGTCATTTGTCATGATGAGGTCTTTAGCCGTTGTTCCATCTGCTATGTTGGCCAGAATGCATAGAGTCTAGTGGAGAAAGAATAACAAAGCACATCAGAAGGTGAATATGTCATTGGCTTGACTGAGATTATCTACACCAGGGGTGCCCAAAAGGTTTATCCCCAGATGTTGCAGAACTACAACTCTCATAATGCTTTAGAATGACAAAGTACTTTGAAAGCTGTAATTTTAAAACATCTGGTGATCTACCTTTTGTGCACCCCTGATCTACACTGACAATTCAGGCACATAGGAGATTTTTAGTCATTAATCCAGTCTAAACAGTTGCAGACTGATTTGCCAGGGATATATACGTTTATACGAGAGACAATGCTATATTAAACATAAAACAGTTTTTCTGTATGAAACATTTTTATTTTTTTACTATTCTAATCAAGAATGTGGATGTATGTTGTATTGCCTTCATAGACTTATTATATATAGACATATATTACAGTTCAGTTTTTGTTTACATTTAGAAGCTATTGTCCTTTAATTTTTCTTTAGAATGAATCAGAAGATGAAATAGACAATGTTTTAAATGGAAAAGAGGAACCACAGTCATTGCTGGGAAGTGCTCTTTCATGCATTTCATCGGTCAAGGTTCTACTCTCTATGCAGATAAGGCAAGAGTTATTAATATGGTCCCCACATTGTACTAATCATCCTGGCATTCAGAAAGTAAAGTCTGCCTGTCCTTGACTGTGTAATGTTTTGTTCCATGCTAATGAGGAACTCCCAGTGAAAAGCAGATGCCTTTTGGCAGTTAGATAGTGATCACTAACCTGTTCCTTGACCTCAATGTTATGCTCGCCTTCCAGGATAAAGGTCACTGCCTGCATGATCTGCTTCCCATGGGTACTCATTATCTGGTCTATGTGCTGGAAGTGCAAAAAAAGAGGAAAAGAGTGTCAGACAGTAAGGATTGTGGGCAACATGGCGCGGATGCCCAGCACACATGATTCAAATAAACGCAGCAGAAGAAATTCGCACGCAACATTTCATACCAATAATGTTTGTTTGCTTCCATGAACGTTAACACTAAATCAATTATGACTTCCGTGTAGAGATTGGAAACACTAACCCTCTTAAAGACCAATAACAACAGAAGTCGTATTGCAAAGTAGCCGTTTAATAACTTGTATCAAATTGTATTGTTCCACTTATTTAATGATGGCAGGTCTGAATATAAGCAATAATGGTGCAGGGTCATTATGGGCTAGCTTTACCTATCATTTGTCCTTCAGGAGTTAATGCACTTTACCTCACTTTTAAAACACTGGCAGCATTCATATATAATACTAACTGCATTCAATGTGTTGATATGGGAGCTGATGTCTGTGCCTTACTGTCGAAAAATGATAAAGCAGACAATGCATCCTTCAGCCCTAGTCTCTAGAGCAGTGGTAGGCAATCTTCAGCACTCCTGATGTTATGGACTACATCTCCCCTGATGCATTGCCAGCATTAAGGCTGTGAAAGCATTATGGGAGATGTAGTCCCGAGTGCTCAAGATTGACTACAACTGTATTAGAGGCGGTAAGATCCGAATCACATCTCTGAAAAAGCAGCCTGTTTCAAATCTAAACCGTCACAGCAGCACACAGTCTGCAGAGAGATAAAGTGACTTTCATCAAACAAACACAAAGCAGCCTAACTCTGTGGTTGTTTGATTCAATACATCTTATCTCACCGCAGACTGTGTGCTACAGTGATTTCAAGCTGCACCTGATGGCATTATCAGGCTTACTCATTTACTGTGTATGCAAAATAGTTTAGATGTTTTTTAAAAAAAAAGGTTAAAACATAAGTTACATGCAGCAAGTGGAAGCTGCAATCACATACTTTTGAATTAGTGGATGTTTAAAAATACAGCTTACTCTATAGTTTGGTATTAAAATCATCATAACAAATGATCAATTATGTTTTTTACGCACTTGGAATAAATTTTTTATATTTACAAATTGTTGTGGACTGCAGAATTGTTGACTCAAGTATAAGTTCCTGCATAACACATATTAGAGTGAATTACAGCTGTAGAATAATTTGGTACATTGTCAGGTTGATCATTGAGATTCTAGGAAAGTGTGCAACCATTCTCTACTGGAATTGGTGATCACAATATTGCCTATTAGAACTAGGTAATTGCAATCAAGGTTTAATTAGGAACCCACATTTCTGGATAAATAAAGGGGTTAAATAAAAGTACACTTACTGGGCGTGTGGAGAGTAGATTTCGCAGAAGTCCTAATGTTTTCATCAATACATTGACATCAGAATCAGATAGTAGTCTGAACAGCTGCTCTGTACTTAGACCTCTCAAAATATCAGACTTTATCTTCTGGTCCGCCTGAAAAGCCATGTTCTGTGAAGCATACAAGTTATTTTAATACAAAAGTAGAAATTGAATCAGACATCTTTATTTATATAAATAGACACAATGAGCACCAACACAATGTATGTCCATTTTTAAAGTTTTGTTAAAAACGAAATAATATAATAATTTACAGCTTTAACCAAAATAAGCCTGCCTCCTTAGTCATGCCTGCTTTTTAAGCAATGTACTCCTGGATGTATTTAAAGTTACTTATGTTTAAACTTTTACAAAATTATTAATACAACTGCAAAGTAGTGGTGAAAAATTAATAAATGCACATAACATAGAAGGTTGGTCAGTTTTAGCACATCATTGTCTTTTAATGGAATAAATGGGGAGGGGCACTAATTATGTGTGTTTCCTTTTCCCTTTATGCTCTTACATTTAGCAGAACAAAATTAAAATGCAATATCACTCTTAGCATGCAATCTTTGTTTTTATTATTAAAGGGACACTCAACTGCCAACATACAACATATAGATCACTGTTTAGTAAATACACCCCAAATCAAAACATACATGCATTTAATTATGCATTTTTTTCATTTGAGTTCTAGCTAAAAACAGCTAGCAGAACCTGCAGTTCTCTTGAATGCTGCCTTTGCAAGCCAACCTCTTGTAACCCCGCCCAGACTTCACGTAACTGTCCAATCACAGACTTCCCAATGCAGTTCAATGAGAAGTCTTTGCAAGGCAGGTGCTCTTGGCAATTGCTGCCTCTTGAGTTTGGCTCCAATTAGCTAATGGAACCAAGAAGAAACAGGACCAGTTGTGTGCTTGAAAAGTCAGGGGGGGAGGTAACCAAGTTAATTTGTCAATTTCAATTGAAATCTGTACTTATTGTACAATGAAAACAAAATGAAATAAAACAATGAAGACACACTCTTCATACTTAAAGTTTTTTAGCAAGCTAAAGTGATTAAGGAGTCTGGAGTGTCCCTTTAATATTGGTCTGAGTGGCTTGCTGCAATGCTTGCAACAGCTGGCCTTCACATCCACACACAAACTGCGCAAGAATCAAATTTTATTTTGTAGTGCAACATCATACTTTACAAGTGTCCCTATTTATAGGGAGAGACAATCCCTATTTTGGGCACAAATTTATCTGTTCTTTTATTTCTATCACAATATTCTTTTTAATAGGAACTCAAAATTGTTTGTGTGTCCGAATGTTTAACAGAGCAACAAATCTATTTAGAAATCAGTTTGTGTAAAGATACATTATTATTACTATTCCACATTATATCTTAGTTCCACAAACTGTTATTTGTAAGTCACCTAAAACTTTGCAGAACCACCCCAGCCCGGCCACACTCCCACTCACACCCTTAAAATTAAATTGTCCTTCTTTTCCATTTGAAATATTTGGAAGTATGCAACATAATGCAAACTACCCACCATAAGAGCCCAGATCCCATTGACTCTGAGGGCAGGATTTTCACTGAGAGTCAAACTACACAGCAATTCTACAGCTCCAGATTCCAGTATAGGCTAGGGGTAAAGAGATGCATATAAATATATATAAATGTAAAGAGCATTAAGAGCTAAACATATGCTTATAATACAGAAACATTGTGCAGCATGAGTGTTTTATTTAAACATGATGGATTCCACCAATATCTGAGTGTTTGTACATACACACACACATACACATATAGACACATATAAATACACACATAATTCAATTTTATATATAACCAACTGTACACTGTCATCCATTCTAACAACAACCGTAAAGGGTTGGGTATTCCACAGACACTCACCTCTTTACTAGGGGAAAACTCCAGGAGAAGATTGCATAACGTCGAAGAAGCTACAACAAGGATGTCATCAGGAGCATTCTGTAAGACCTGTAAAGTCAGTAAAGAGGAAGAGGTCAATATGTTTTGTTGGCTCAGCTGGCAGATACACACTCAATAAATACTTACTTGAAAACTAGTAGCTGGCGTGTTAATATGTAATTCTAATTAAATGTTAAAGTGACCACAAAACACCACCTATGCTTCTTGCTTAGGGTATGGTTCAGGAGTACCTGGTTCCTGTCCCCAGATGTTACTACAGTGCTGCAGCTATATGCCTTCCCCACCCTGTGAAGGCATAGGCAAAGCATACATTTTGTGTGCATGCATGGCCACACAGGACGTTTCTAGTATATACACATATCCTCCACTAAAGCAATGGGGAACAATGATTGGCTGATAAATTTCAGCCAGATACTAGCAGATGCGGGCTTTGTTGTTCTGCAGCGAACCAGGGCAAAATAACAAACAAACCATAATCCGTTAAAACAGCAATACACCATGGTTGCCAAAGTATCACTGCATTACTAAGCTTGGTGCCATTAGTATTAAAGCACACTTGGTACCAAACAGTTGGAATTGCATCCCTCAAGAACTGTGTAACATTGATTAGCTACATAGAGCTGACAGATGAATGGATTTTGCAACAGGAACGACATACATTGTATAATCGCCCTTTATTTTCTCCAGATTGTTAACTGGTAATTTTGTTCTTACAGAAGTGCCCTTTTGCACAGTGCTGTTTTACAAGTGATTATGGTTCAGAGTTCAGAATTTGAGACCTTTCTGACAGCATAGCTAGTCATTTTCTGCTCTCTCATTAAGTTTTCACCCACCAAACTGATACACACTGTATTTTCTTATTTTATTGTATTTTATTTACTGTACTAATTTCTGTACACTTGATTTCTCTTGGATCAACAGCACAAGCAGAGATATGAGAAAGGTTAAACTTGGTTGATTTTAGTTTGTTTGTTTTTTTACTCAATATGAAGTTACTCTTTAAAGACTGTTGTACATAAAACAACCAGGATTACAACTATTTCTGAGATGCCGGAAACACACAATCACATCATTGTCAAAGTTCTATTATCCCCCCACCCCCCATTCTAATGTGAGGTGACCAAATCTAAGCCTATTAACCATGTTACTTTGTGGCATTTAATTGTAATTGCGCCAACAATGCCACATTTTACTGCTGACTTTAAATCAGAGTAAGAAATAGGAGTAGATAGTGTAAAATAAATTGTAGCTACGCAACTTAAAAAAAACCCATAAAAAAAAATAAAAATTGGAAAAATACCCCACAAAACTAAATCTACATATAAAAGGTTTTGCTACAGACTATAAACCAAGTTTCAAGTTGTAACCAAATTATTAATTCAGTAATATTTTACTAACTATGGTGCAGAAATATTTTTTAGTATCAGAGATTACTAGGTAAAATGAAGACAGCAGGAAAAATTTGGAACACAACTTTTGAAGTATATACTAAAATTCTATGGCAATTCCACATGTTGCATCCAATTAAGGAAAAGGACACGAGTTGCAGAATTACAACTCCTACAAATAAAGTTTTGCTGTAAAGCAAAAGTGGTAGATCAGTTCCTCAAGCTGCTCATCTACGGTTTGTTTATTCTGATAACCCAAATGATTTAAGTAAAAAAAAAAAAAAATGTTCACATATTCTAGTTAATCCCAAATAAAATGTAATAACGGTCTGACTCATTTGTAAAAAAATAAATTTAAAAAAAATTATCTAATTCTCCCATGGGGGAGAGGGATAAGGGAACATAATGGATCTTGATAGTTTGTATTAGAACAATGTTTTTTATATATAAAAACAAAGACAACTATTTTCACAACTTGTTTAGCTGTCACACTTCTCCCCATGCCAGAACTATAAAAAAAAAAAAAAAAATAATAATAATAATACTGCTATAAAACAGCATTCTCAAAAATATATATCATAATAAACACTCGTAGCTGTAAATATAAAGCACCAAGCTGAGATACCTTCATTAAGGGCTTCCACACTGCATGATCCTGAAAACTTGTCCGTAGCTGCTGTACGGATCTGGACAGACTGTGTAAACATCTAGAAAGAAAGACACATAACATACCATAGCAAATTGTAGCAATATGTGAACCCTGATCATAGAAATACCACCAGATAACTTGTCTTTTAGGTTAAAGGAACACTATAGTCACCTAAATTACTTTAGCTAAATAAAGCAGTTTTAGTGTATAGATCATTCCCCTGCAATTTCACTGCTCAATTCACTGTCATTTAGGAGTTAAATCACTTTGTTTCTGTTTATTCAGCCATAGCCACACCTCCCCTGGCTATGATTGACAGAGCCTGCATGGAAAAAAAAACTGGTTTCACTTTCAAACAGATGTAATTTACCTTAAATAATTGTATCTCAATCTCTAAATTGAACTTTAATCACATACAGGAGGCTCTTGCAGGGTCTAGCAAGCTATTAACATAGCAGTGGATAAGAAAATCTTAATTAAACAGAACTTGCAATAAATAAAGCCTAAATAGGGCTCTGTTTACAGGAAGTGTTTATGGAAGGCTGTGCAAGTCACATGCAGGGAGGTGTGACTAGGGTTCATAAACAAAGGGATTTAACTCCTAAATGGCAGAGGATTGAGCAGTGAGACTGCAGGGGCATGTTCTATACACCAAAACTGCTTCATTAAGCTAAAGTTGTTCAGGTGACTATAGTGTCCCTTTAAATAATAAACTGTATCAAATAGATAATATTTTCATACAGAATTTAAACATTTTTTTTTTTTTATTTGCCCCTCTAAAGAATAGACTGTGCTCAAAGTATAACAAAAATAATGAAAAAATTAATAAAACAAACATATTGGACACAATTCCACAAAACAATTTTTAAACCATATGACTGAACAATTAATTGTCCAGAACTACACTAACACAGAGGTAAAGTGAAAATGTAATATACAATTAGGACCCACTTTTAACTAAACGTACAAAAAAAAATTACCAGGGTAAACTAGGTTTTAATGATAAAGTCTAAACAGAAAATTGGGCAACAAAGATGTGTTTCACAAAACACTAAAAAGGACTTAAGACACGCAACACTTATAGTCATCATAATATGCATGACTGTGCTTGGTTCTTTGCAAGAAAACATTAACATGTCGCAAAGCATTATGCAGGAACATGGGGGTCTGGAAATGTGTTTGTTATAGAAGGAAACAACATGTCAGTAGGGAGAGTTGATGCTCAATGTTTTAAGCCTTGCATTCAAAAAGTCCTTATAGTTTATAAGCCACATTGCCACTTAATCAAATGATATATCACCATAACATGTTTAAACAGATAAAGGGAATCAACACAAAAAAGTAGGAGACAATATTTAAAAGTAGAAAAACTACCACAACAAGAGGACATAGTCTTAAATTAGAGGGGCAAATGTTTAAAATAATATAAGAAAGTATTGGTAGAGGTTAACACAGTGAGGGAGTTTAAGCATGCGTGGGATAGGCATAAGGCTATCCTAACTATAAGATAAGGCTAGGGACTAATGAAAGTATTTAGAAAATTCTGAAGACTAGATGGATCGAATGGTTCTTATCTGTGGATTACTCGTTTGTTGGAAGTAATTGACGGAGGGATTTCTTCCAAAAATATTGTTTCTCGTGATGCGAGAGTAATTCTAGCAGTAAATTAGCTAATTGCATTAACTGATGTTAAAAATCACTGCACTTTCCACTGCATAAACCATTTCAATATGAACATGTTAGGGGTCTAGTGTGATGCGTGAAGATGCAAAGGGCAGGAAGTTTGGAAGACTTGACAATTTATTTCGTACCTGACTGCTGCTAACCGCACCTTGACACTAGACTCTGATAAGCCATTCACAATCCGGTCCATCATATGTTCAGCCTCAATGATCTGGAGAGAGACGTTAATGCAGCATAAATAACATCACGGAGCCCACGACTGCTTGCCAGATTCCTGCTTATAACAGTGACAATAATATATGTAACCCTAATAATAAAGGAAGCACGAATTAAATAAATCCATACTAAAGAACCAATCTATAAAGTGTAACCCAACCTCTTCCTGGATGACCAAAAAGATTGAAGGAAGAAATTAACCTATTGTGGAAGTCTTTGGTTTAATTTTCCCTTTGTGCAGCAAGAAAGTTTCAGTACATGGTTTATTTCATATAGGTAACATACTTTTCACGTTCGCATTTTTTTCTTTTTAAGCAAGCATTAAGATGAGATTTTAAAATATGTGTTTGTCCAGACATTTACTTCCAAATATATTTATTTTTTATTAAATTGCATTCAAAATGACTATTAGGTCCTTAATCTAGTTTAGAGGGATACTATAGTGGCAGGAACACAAAGTATTCCATGCACTATAGCTCCCTCTGCCTCACCCCTCCCCCTCCCCTTCCCCCCCTTAGTTGGCGAATAAAGGGTTACAAATTTTTTTTATTTTTACCTGATCCCCGCATCGATGTCCCTCGGCGCTGGGTTGCGGCTCCAACATCCCTTGACGAGCAGGCGCTAATGACGAGTGCTGCACGTGCATTAGGCCTCCCCATAGGATTGAATCAATGCTTTCATATGGGGAAATAGCTGATGCTGGAAGTTCTAATGCAGAACATGTAGACGTCCAGCATCAGTGAGCTCATTAATATCCAGGAAGTGCCCCCCCAGTGGCTGTCTAGTAGGTAGCCACTGGAGGCAGACTTAGTGCTGCAATGTAAACATTGCAATTTCTCTAGAACTGCAATGTTTACATTGCAGCACTGAGTGCAATAGGAACACTGTACCCAGAAAACGTTAATGAGCTGAATATAGTGTCCCTTTAAACCTGCTTTTAACATATACCTGAGATAGATAGATATGTATCTATGTATACATATACATACAAACACACACACACACACACACACATCCAACCTGGGAGATGGACTGTGTTTCTTAGAATATGTTCCATTCTTCTATGCCACTTTGCCAAAGCCACCAATAATCATTCAGTAAAAAAGGCAACAGTAGGTTAAATATTATGTTTAAATATATTTTTAATTAACAAATTTGCATTTAAGAAGTGTGAAAAATAAAATTATATAAAGAAATTCACACCTTTATGTCCTTTAACTGTGCGCTTCAATTTTGGCTCCTTGTCAATGACAGTTATAAGCTCTGTCCTTTTCACTGGACAGTAAGCATACTGAGAAGGGGGAAAAGAAACCATGTTTCTACACTTCATTGGCAGTCTACCCTTACTGTGTGTGCCTGGACTGAACTGTGATGCAATTTGCAAAAGAAAAAAAAAATTCAAACAAAACACACATTATAGGTAATGTTTAATGTTTGATTAATGTGCTTTCCATAGTGCATCAGAAACAATGTGACTACTAGAATAGTGTTTGTAGTCATTATGAAAACATTGTTTATTTGGAAAACATATCACTATTTTGCAAATAAATACTATTGTTTTGTTTTGTGAGAGTCTTTAAACAGACTAGACCTTAGAACAGGAACAGAATTAGTACATTTCAAATTGGCTTCTGTCAATCACGTGATATTGGAATGTGTCTTAAAGGAAGTGTCTTAAAGGAACACTCCGGATACCATAACAACTTCCTTGGAATTAGGTTATGGTGGTGCCAGGAGGTCACCAATCGTTAAGAAACAGTTTAACCCAAATATCTTGAATCAAGTACCATTTAGCTCTGCCCCTTTTCTTCCACATTTCTACGAGGCTTGAATCAGAAAGCCTCGCAAAAGAGCGGCGTTGATTGGTTTGAAACATTGGCTGACACGCAAAGTCAATCAGTAGATTCACATATACAAAACAGCTTGAGAAATGTGCAGATTTTAATCAAGCCATTTTGTGAGTCAGCACCAGGGGACTCCTGGCACCACAATAACTATGAAGTTGTTAATGTGCTCGGAGGTTCCCTTTAATCATATCCACTTTTCTGAAATATATCAAAGCTGTACACACGTAATTAACATATTTAAAGTAGAAAGTTGACGTACAAAATTATACATGTGGGAAAACCCCTGCAGTTTTAATGGAATTTAGCGGAAACAAATTAAAGCATATTGAATGAAATCGCTTGTCAAAATGTGTGTTGGGGGAAAGTTACATTTGCAGAAAGAAGCAAAAACAAGTATTTTATTTTTGAATGACCAATTCTTTTTATTGGGAAATTGCCCATGGGTGAGAAAATTATGATACAAAAATTAACCAAATACACAAAAACTACAATTCACACATTACAGAAAATACAGAAACAGAGTACTACTGTAGAGCCACATAGATAATACAACTTCACAAAACCAATATTTAAAAGCAAAATTCAGTGTATGAAAATAGCATGGGAATTTACTTGATTTTAGCACTGCATTTTGTCAACACAAACAAAAAAGTTATTCACCAAGTGTGAACAGTTAGAAGCTCAAAGTGATATCCAAATAGCTAAACTAGAAGAATTCTTTATTTCCAGTCCTGCTATTATTGTCTAAAACAGGGGTGCTCAAAAGGTAGATCAACCAAGGTTTTAAAACTACAGCTTCTATGATGCCTCGCCATTCTAAAGGCATTCCAAAAGGCATGCAAAGCATCATGGGAGTTTTTCTACAACATCTGGAGATCTACCTTTGGGGCGCCCCTGGTCTATAACATTTATGTGAGTTCCCAGTAGTGAATAATATGCGTGTTCCCAGTAGTGAATAATATGGTCTTAAAATGTAACTGGAATTGTGTTGACCTCTGCCACTTCTTACTCTTATGTTTTGAGATTTCACAAATGGCACTGTCAGAGCAGGCATTCTTAACATGTTCTTAACATGACTCCAAGGGTTTTGCCTTATTTGGATCAACAGCAAAAACATATCCAAGAGAAGCTGAACTTGATGGACACGTGTCTTTTCAGCCCAAGTAACTTATTCAGTTATTCTGTTGTGACTAATTCTAAAGTACATGCTTCCAGTAATCTCGCATCTTGTCCAGTGTGCAGGACTTCATTATAAAAAAAAATTGCATATACTTATTTTATTGGAAAAAAGAAAGTGTTGGGCTATGCAATAAAAAACAAAGAAAAGGATAACTCTGTCTTTTAATATAAACAGCCAAATAACTTAATTACAAAAAATAAAATAAAAATAACATTGTATTGAACCTCTAAACTCGCTCAGAGTGTTTTCTGATAAACACATAGTTCAATACCATTGTGGGCTCTAGTATTTTAGTGTTAACTAAGCCTATAGCCACTTCAATTGTACTGTTGTATTCCTGTTACATTTCCTCACCTTATGTAATCATGTCCACAATAAGACATTCATTGAATGTGGCAGGTAGATCTAACGTGATATTCAGAGCAAAGGAATATCTGCCCTGTTGTCTAAAAGAGGAATTGTTGGGGGTCTGTAACTCTGGGTTAAGAACAGCGCTGATTCTTTAACTACATCAAAGACAGAGAACTGGTACTTATCACTAAAACTGATAAGTAAACTCTAGTAAAAGAAGTTAGGTGTAATAATAATATTAATAAGATCCCAACACCTTCTTTCATTTAATGGATTAATAAAAACAAACATTTTTATTTATTAAATGCTTGCAGAAGCCAGATATTTAAAATCCACTATACATAAAGATTTTTCACTGACAGAACTGCTAGCTAAATAACACTATTATTGATTTATATTGTAGAGGATCTACACAGACCATACATTCTCAACAGATACGTCAGTTTGTATATTTAGGTTTTAAACATATCCTTCTATCCATCAATTCAGTCTTCTCTACTACTGTCACTAAAGAAGATATATCACCTGCCTTTTCCCATATTTCAAACAGTTGTCGAGACTCCCAAAAGTTGTCGAGGCTGTTTTAAGTAAACTGCTTTTCTGCTTCATGGGAAGTAATGTGCTGCACATCAAATGTTTTACAACTGGATATTTTATAGTTGCGGTTACAAGAAATGTAAGGAACAAGAACAGATTTGTAGTGCATCATATTCCAAAATACAGAGTTTGACAGGGTATTTTTATCGGACAGGGTTTTTTATTGGATTAATTATTTTTATTCAATTTTTTGATAAAGTCCTGTTTTGTTGCTATGCACAAGGGCTTTAAAAAATGATTTTTAATCCTTGTGAAGACTGGCAGATTTTCTGAAGCATTAACAAATACCCGACTGTTCTACGTACACAATCTATGTTCCCCAATAGAAAGTAAAAACAAACATGAATTCATGAAAAATATTTTAAAAGGGTAGAGGTGTCAATGTCTACTTTTATAGAAACAGGAGACGGGTACATTGAGGTTTAGTAAGAAGGACAGGGAGAGAGATGATGTGAGAGAGAGAGGGGGAGATGGTGTCTGTGTACAAGAGACAAGTTGAGTAAAAGGACAGAGACAGTTATATCTGACTTCAGCATTCCTAGAGGAGACAGGACATCATTGTGGCATGAATGTATTGCATTCAAGTTTGCACATGCATACAGCACTGTTTACAAAGTATGAGCTTGCGCTATTGTTGCGCAGCAGGACAGGACCACGAAACTGGTACTGCGTAACCCAGGACTTTTGAGTTATGCTATTAGTAAGCCATTAAAAGCGTCATCAGTGACAGCAAACCGGTTTTGCATATACAAAAAAAATGCATAGGTCTGCCCTCCATAAATCGGAGGCATTCAAATTTCACAATAAAAGTTTGGGCTCCACTGAGATTTGTGGGATTAGCTCTAGACCCGAGGTAACTTAGCCCCCATTCTTAAAACACTTTTTTTTTTTTTTAAGATATTGGGTGAGATAGGGGGTACTTTAATGTATGTTTCTAACAAAGGAAAAAGACAAATCACATGATGATCATTGCTTTAAGGCCACTTGATATAACAGTTACATAGCTGAAAAGAGACTTGCGTCCATCAAGATCAGCCTTCCTCACATTTGTTTTTGCTGTTGATCCAAAAGAAGGCAAAAAACCCAGTTTGAAGCACTTCCAATTTTGCATAAATTAGGGGGGAGAGGGGGAAATCCTTTTTGACTCCAGAATGTCAGTCAGATTAATCCTCGGATCAAGAAGCTATAACCCTACATTGAAAATTTATATCCTTGAATATTCTGTTTTTGCAAGTATGCGTCTAGTTGCTGTTTGAACATCTGTATGGACTCTGATAAAACCACTTCTTCAGGCAGAGAATTCCACATCCTTATAGTTCTTACAGTAAAAAAAAAAACAAAAAAACAAAAAAACACCTTTTCTTTGCCTTACACGAAATCTTCTTTCTTCCAGTCTAAATGCATGACCTTGTGTCCTATGTAAAGTCCGGTTTGTGAATAGATTTCCACACAATTGGTTTGTATTTTCCCCGGATATATTTGTATAATGTTATCATATCCCCTCTGAGGCGACGATTTCCTAAACTAAAGAGGTATACATTTTTTAACCTTTCTTCGTAGCAGATATAAGAAACGAAAAAGGAGACTGAGCTATTTTAGGAAAAACTAAGTGCAAGTCTATGATATACTTCCTATGAAAACATGGTAACATGATAAGGGCAAATCTTTACTTGCCCGGCAGAACCTAAGGAAGGTGATCTCAAAACCAGCATCACTCCTTCATGCTAAGGCAAGCACAGGAACACTACAGCTATAGGAGTTGTGAAGGGGACATCAACAGCCTACACTGGACCTTTTGTCTGTACTTATACCACTAGGCCTGAAGATTTCCACAATCTCTGAGGACTGTGTCCAGCCTGTAATGGGCATAGGCTGAACGGCTCACCAGGCATACTGCAGTATCTCACATCATCACACTGCAATTGATATTTCATCATTCTATTGCTGTTCCCTTTTATTTCTTTTATCTGGTTGATTCCATGACACCTAGGGAGCTATCTTGGGTGGATCACTTTCTGGTATTAAAATTGTTAAGAATATCTATACTTCAGTTTATTCATTTAGACACATCTTTTTTAATTTCTGCCTTCACTTTATTCATGTTTTTTCCAATATAAAAATGTGCAGTCTTATTGACGTTTTAAGTAATATTCATATCCTTATTATTGTCATTTATACACTTGGCAAAATGTCTACATCAAACTTGCAATATACATTTGCAGAACCCCCAAGTTTGATGTTCCCAAAAGCAGGCCACCAATGAGAAGGGGATAAAGGGGGCAGGCCAGTGATACGACTGCATCACTGGCTCCACCCACGGGGCAAACCGCCTAGAAAGGTGGCGTGTCAGTCCACATTACCGGCAAGTCAGGCAGGAGTGAATGCCAGCCCTCTGAGGGCAGACCGTGCAGGGAGCACTGTTTTAGTGTTCTTTGCAGAGTCCTAGTATCCCGGGTGCAGCATGAGCATGTGGAATGATGTGCTTGCACTACACTTTTTGTGGGGAGTTCCCTTGTGTCCCAAAAAGCCAGACACCAGGGAATAAAGTCGAGACAGGACCTGTAAATTGGGATACTTTAGAAGCATGCATTCATAGAAATGTGATTAAAAAACACACATCAAAATAGCAACAACAAAAAATACATGAGAATTGTTATGTACATAAAAAAAATATTGTATTATATGTGGGCACATCACAATTAAAGCATTAGATAAAGCTTTGAAGCAACTCAGCAATTTGTTGCATATGGCATACACCTAGTCCCTTCAGTACCAAGCAATTTTTGTTTGAAAAAAATATTAACATAACATTTATTTCAAACACGAGGTCCATAGCTAGTACTTAAATGTATGATAAAAACAACAAACTTGTGTACACATTGCTGTTAAGAAAAACAATGAGAATTATATAAATTTAAGTAATTTTTATTTTTCATGTAATCGATTCATTCTTTAAAGCTTTTCATTCCTCCGATGTTTCTACAGTTAGTATACAGCATCTCTTATGGAATATTTCACACAGGGTACGAAATATTAATATAAAAGGAAAAAAAAATATTGTCACAGAGTATATATGACAAAAAGTGATCAAATTTGTCAAATATCTTGCTAGTAGGTAAGGACTGTGATAGCATTACCAGCTTAACATCTTACGAAGAATGGTAACAGAATAGATCAGTGTATTGCAGTTGCTGTAATCTACTTGGGTTTTGTCAAGGTATTTGATATGGTTCCTCACAATAGGTTACTATACAAAATTTAAAGCAACTGGTTTAGATGGTTTAGATGAAAATTGCTATCTGATTGCATGGTTGGTATAGGAAAAATGTACAAGTTGGACAAAGGTGGTAAGTGGAGGGGTCTGTTCTGGGTCCTATTCTCTTTGATTTGCTTATTATTATTTTTGCAATAGGAATTGCAGAGGACACAAAACTAAGCAACATAATACATGCAGCCAAGTGGCAACTGAGTGGCATGTAGATAAATGCAAAGTTATGTATTTTGGAGTGAGGAATGCACATGCAACATATATCCAAAGTAGTACCAAGTTAGGGAAATAAATTACAAAGACTAGGAAGCAAACAGCCTAAGCAACAATGTGCAAAGTCAGGTAGCAGTGCTAAGGCCCGTAAGGTAGTGTCAAGCATAAAACTGGGTATTAATTCATGGGACAAAGAAGGAGGTGGTTATGGAACTAGGAAGAGTGCAGAGGCTGCTACAAAATTAATTAGGGAAATAAAATTTTTTAGTGATGAAGAAACTCGAAAAAGCTTTAATGTCTCTACATGCGGAAAAGGGAAACTCAAAGTGGATATGATAACATTATACAAATAAGTATAGGGCCAGTACAAAAACAGTTCTTTGGTAGTTTATTCATTAAAGGGCATCTGTCACGCGCCAAACAACTGCATAACATTTTATCTATACATTGTGCTAGCAGTTTTTCTAGCAAATGTATAGATTAGGAGAAAAATATTTCTACTTGAAAATATTTTCCTCCTAGCGGTCAGTCAATTCCTAGGCATGCCATGGCATTAACAGATAATGGAGAGCAGAAAACACCTTGCACAGCGCATGCCCTTTTGTTGCTATGGAAACTCCCTAGCAGGCGCTTCTAGCACTTTTTAGGGAGTATAGGAACAGAGTGACATGTCGTCACTCCGTTTGGAAGCCAGCTTGCCAATGTCACTGACAGGATTAGCCCTGCTTGGGAATGCATCCCAAGCAGGGCAAATCAAAGAAGACTTCAAGAGGAGTGTAGGCAGAGTGGAGGACAGTCCTGAGGTGAGAGTAACACGTACAAAGTAGCGCTGGAAAGGAGGAAAAGTAAGTAAATCTTTGTATTTTACATTGAATACATCATGTGTCTTGTGATATTTGGTGTATTCAATATATATGGGAGCGATTGCAGGTAAGTTAATTTTTTCATAACAGGTTCACTTTAAAGGAACACAGTGGTCACCAGAACAACTTAACCTTAATGAAGTTGTTATGGTGCCGGGAGGTCCCAGACGCCTGTTTCTCGTATTTTACGCATCCATCAATGATCGAGACTTCAATTTTGAAGAAACAGATAAGGCGTGCTAATAGGCTGAGAGCAACAATTTACTGTCTCAGCATTTCTCTAGCTGTATGAGATATATAACCTAAGGAAGATCATTAAGGGGTTTGATTTGCCTTTTGGATCAACAACAGTAATACGGATACACAAAAAGCGGAAATTGACTGACCAGAGTATTTTTCTTCAGCCTATGTAAACGTATAAAATATAAAAATAATGTCTGCATTTGAGAATAAAATCCCCACTTAAATTAAGTTAAATTTCTATTTAAAAAAAAAACAAAAAAAAAAAAAAAAACAATAAATCCCTGTAAAGCTATTTTAATGCTAAGAGGCGTACGAAAGATACCATTTTGTGACTATAGGGATGGCATGTTCTGTGAAGTTTATTTTATTGTTTTGAAGGGGCAGGATATGTCATTTTCAGGTTATCTGCAGACATTAAATGTGTGGAAAGAGTTCCTGACAGAGAAATGTGTTCCTCCATAGGATGACGATTTTTTTTTCATTTTTTAATATAAATATAGGTAAGTGAGGATTTATGGAATACATTTTGTTTTGCAAAGCAAATGAAAGCAAAAACATGTATATACAGTTTTGGTAGTGAAGGATTTATCCAGTCGAAAATTATGCTGATGGATTCAAATTTCCCAACATCAAGAGGCAATAAATTCAACAATTGCATTTGTGAAACCATATATTTAATTTAATAATACACATTACTGGACTAACAGCATCTGTTCAAAATGTACAGTATCTAAATCAGTGATTTTCTGGCATGTGACAAAAACCTCCCCATTGGAAATCTTTCAAGAATATGCTGGGCCATTAGAAACAGAATGCGTTTAGACAATGGATGTGTGCTAAACATATAATATGGAAGCATTTTGCACATAGTGCATACATTTTATAGTTTGTACACCTCTGTGTTTCACATATGTTGAGTGATTGCATTTAATTTCAGGTGTTGACAAAACATCATTAGTATCTTAAATCCACATATATTATTACGGGTCAATCTAAATTTGAAGGAGTCACAAACTGGGTATATTCTAGGCTAGGCACTCTCTCTCCTTTATCTGTATCAGGCCCCGAGACACAATGTGTCCCAAAGGCAGATCTCCATCTCGGCCTTATAACTGTAATTTAGTAAAAGTTGCTGGAATTTAAACTATGGACCTGTGACAGTTGAAATGTATTCTTGGCATTTTATTTTCTAACCGTAAAAGGAATGCTGCAAGCACCGTAACCACAACCACCTGCATTGGTGGTTATGGTACCAGGAGTGCCCTAGAGCCGTCCTTTGGTAAGGCGCCAAGCCGTTTTTGTACTGTCTGTCAACTTACCTGGGTACTGCTGGGTGCCCGCAACCACTGCTTCCAGTCTTCTGCTGCAGGAGAATCCAGTTAGCCCTACAGAGCCAAGAAGTTTAATGCAGGACCATGCTCACTGGCTGAGAGCATCAGCTGAGCGCTCTTAGTCCATGAGCCCAGTTCTGGATCATCTGTTTATTCTCCTGCAGGAGAAGACCAGATGTGGTGTCAGTGCCCAGGTAAGTTGTTAATCATACAAAAACGGTTTAAGTACATACCGTGGGATGACACCAGTGCACTCCTGGCAACATAACCATTACAGCGGGTGGTCAGTAGTTATGGTGCTTGGAGTGTTTCATTATGAGTAGAGATCTAGGAGGAAGTGAGCCATGCAAGATTTGTTTAACAGATAATTGGGTAGAAATTTTAGTAATTTTTGCTGTGAGTCCTGAGTTTAGAGAAATAATGCTTTGCAATGTCATATAGACTTCGTTGTAAGGGATGAATGTGTAATTTTGCACATGTGTAAAATGGCCAATGTCATATATAAGGAGTTTGACTTCTAAGCCGCTACATAAAATATTTATATCATGCATAAAAAAATGTGCAGTGCTAGTGCTAAACACAGGTAATAAACATGATATTTGGTCATCCTCGTACCGTTATGCTATGCTAGTTTTCTAATGGCATTACAACAAAACCAAAGGCATGACCCATTCATTCATTCTTCTGATAACTCTCTCAGTCTCTCCTTTTGATTTAAAACAAGACAGTCACTGTTAATTCTCTTCCCGCGACTTTTTCAGGTGGGTGTCACACCCTGTCTGCTGGCTGACAGGACTGGGGGGCGACCCTCTCCCAGACTCACCTTCTTCCTGATGTCTTCATCATTTGCTCCAAGTGATGCATAGAGTTTGAAGGCAGCCTGGCGCAACTCATGGGCGTGCTTTAAATCATGGTCAAGCTGGGGCCAAAAAAAAAAAAACAGATACACGGTGAGAGGGAATACAGACACAGATCACACTACACCATGCCAATAGTATAAAAAACATAGCAACTTTTCTGTAGCTTTACTAAACCCAACCAAACTCAATTTGTCACCCTTGATCAAATACTCATTCAGTCTGTGTTAATAAATAAGCAGTCTTATCTAGAAATAAGGAAATAAGACAAAATCATCCAGCATTCTGCTGCTTCCAATCATGCCCCAAACACATTCAGAATTTTGTAAATTCACATTTTGTAGAGCTTTTTTCTATGTAACCAATGGCTAAAAAATGGTTTCTAATCATGTTCTAACTATTGGCCAATCACTGGTATTTTTACAATGATTACACTACTTTGGCAATTTGCACCACCTTTTAGACCATATCACTGCTACAAATCCTCCATACCCCAAATAATTACTTATGCACTAGACAAAGTGCACAATCCCTTAAAAGCATAGTCAACCCATTTGATTTAGGGTTCAGTAAAGATAAATATGATTTTGATTCACTGCCCATGCCCTTTCAATTCTGAGCTTCTTGCAGTGCTACTCTATTACTCTTGGCATTACAGGAATGGACAAGAAGAAAAAATAAAAATGAAAAAAAATGAGATAGCCAATAATCACAGAGTTCCGTAGTGACTCAAGTAGCAGCCTCTCTGTGCTGAAGGCAAGGAAGCCCATCAGACAGGGTGGGTTGTGGTGTCAGGAAAAGGACAGTTTACTATAAAAAAAATCTCTTGGATGTTTCACTAAAGAATTGTAGTTTTTTTCCCCCATTTTGTAAAAACACTGCTACTAAATTAGTATTAAGGAAAAGAGTGGCGTGGGAAATACATTTCCATCAACAGATATTCCAGTAAAATGAAATGAAATTTAAAAAAAAATTAACAATCAATCAGAACAGAAGCATGCATAACATACAAAACAACTAGTAGAAATTTCACAAAAGTAAAAAGGAATTCTATGCAAAAAAATAAAATAACACAAAACAATAAAAAAGTAGAAACACATAGTGTAAGTGTGAAACTTAAAAAACATTCACAAAAACATAGTGAGCTCTTTAAATTTAGGCAACTGGTTTGGACAGGCAAACACTTACCAGGAGAGTAAGACAAATTAAAGTCAAAGTATCCTCACCTTCTCTTCTGCAGTCAGCAGGGAGCAATGTTGGGTGTACGATGTCATTTGTGACAATGGAAGTGTAATAGAGGCTGCAGTACACTGGGATTCATCCCCAGTCCCTCTGGGCTCTGCTTCCTCTGGACCAGTGAAAGTCTGCCCTGTTCCTCTGTGCTGCAGTGTAAATTGCCAGGAAAAGAAGAGGGAAAAGAGGACAGGTTTGTGCTGACCAATAAGGAGCAGAAACCCTGGAAAGGGGGACTAGAGAGTAACCTCTACGCACTGCAGCCTATTGAAGATGAGCGATATGGGGTGAAGAGAGGCTGCCTCCTGACTTATACAGGATATGGAAAAAAGAACTCTAAAATTGGGGCAGGGACTTCAGAAATAAAAAAGTCAGGATATTGTTTGAACTAGGCTTGTGCAAAAATCTGTTTCAACTGGTTCGAACAAATCAAAATCCATTTAATCTAAGCCCAAACAAATTGGTCCATTTGGGATTTACCAGAGGAGTCTTACTCATTAAATTAAACTCCATAAGTAAACCCCAGATAGATTGATTTTTCTGGGCATAGTTTAAAGGGAATTTGATTTGTTTGAACCAGCTGAAATGCATTTTGCACATGTCTAGTTTATAAATGTGTTAATGACATTTCATATTAGGGATGAATGTCTGGTAGCCCTAGTGCTTACAAAATGACTATCCTACCTCTTATAGAGAAGAAAAAATATATATATATATATATACACCTGAAGAGATGCGAACATTAAGAAGTTGTTTAATAAATGCCTTGTATTTTAAGCATATTCCTTTATACAGTTTGATAGTCTCAGGACGGTTCAGGTTCTATTTATATCCCTAGTTGGATTGGGTAAATCATATATCCTGAATAGATGGTGGTCCTTCAATGAGAACCACTATTAAAGGAAATCAATAGCCTATTATACAAATAATCACATGTTACTGCATACATTCCATTCCTAAAACAGCTAACTTAATAATCACAGTATGGTAATAAGACTTTAGAGAACACATGCATACACGTCAATTCAGATTGGAGTCATCAGTGCCATAGAAAGAAAAACAAGCATGCATTCAGTCACACGACAGTTCCCACAATGTCACTATTGATCAGCACGCTCCAGGTGTAAAGAAAATCAACAAAGTATACACACCCTTTTTATGTCGGTGATGGCACTAACTGAGCTGGGGTACTTGAAGTAGTCGGCAAGCATGGAGATCAAATGGTCAGTGATGCTGGCAATCCTCTGCAGCTCCACATCAGGCTCAATTAGGTAAGCCAACGTTTCTGCACCTTCCACCCTTTCCTCCAGAAGTCTCTCTTTGTTACACATGCGTACCAAGCAGGGAAGGGTCTGAAAGAGGCAGCAGGCAATAAAATAAAATGGTGAGATTCTAGGTTTAAATATGCATAAATAACTACATCAATAAAATGATAATGGTTGTCAATTTCAACACTTTATCATTCAGGCATGAGATGTGGCTGAAGTGGAAGCATTGTTGGCTGTGCCAAATCAATAAAAAATAAGTTGGAGACATATTGCCCACCCTGGTAGAAGACCTACCATGAATACAACACAAAATAAAATTATACGCACATATCAATATTTGTCAAGAACATATTTGACAGGGGCCTAAATTTCTTATATTGCATCTATTTAAAGACCAATTCTTTAATTCTATAACAACACAAATGACACAATCTTCAATTGTTCTGTAATCTAATACAAAATAAATACTTTAAATTATTTACATTATCATAGGCTTCTACATTGTATTGATTAAAGCTGTTCTGTTATAGAAAAGAAATGTAATATGAACAGTTGCTTGGGGCATAATGAATATGATGTATCTCTCCAAGCCACTGACTATCCATCATATTATCAAGGACACCTAATTTGGGGTTTTGGCCTTCATGGGGCCTCATCAGTGAGGCGTAGCAGATACCCCACAAGGCAAATGGTCTTCCTCATGCAAATCATCCAACTTCTTACAAAGTTAGAACATTCATAAGGAGATAACCTACATATATAAGCACTGTATAACGTACAAATATAAACAAGAAAATTCTACTTACCTTTAACACAATGCATGTATCATCCGTTCGAATGGATCCCGCTCTACACATATATGTTAAACTAAAAAAAAAATTAAAAAAAAGATTTTTAGTGCCGGCTTATTTTCGCTCTCATTCATTATTATGAATACCATTGACATTGATTGGTTGTAGGGTTACTTTGCATAGCTGGCCAACATACAAATAACATTCAGGAGATCAAGATGCATATTTTAACTGACCATTAGTGTCAGGACCTTTGGATATCATTGGATTTCACATTACCTATGTGTGAACTTGCTACACTCCCTTATTTTCCATATAGTATACACTTCACTCTCTAGTTAACCCAAATATTACTTTAGTTCTTGAAAACCTAAACATAAAAATACAGATAAGGCATGAAGTGGCTACAGTATGTGACCGATCCTTAGGCTTCTGATCAAAGATAGATGCTTTTATACAGCATCTACATAATTTGCTTATATAAAACATTTATTGTATGTATGCAAGGATTTTCCTTTCCTGTGCATTTTAGTCAATTTAGCAGCACACCACACGCATTTACCTGTGACAAGTTAAAGCCAATGGAAGCAAGCAATGACGAGTTTCTCAAACAAGAAATTAAATATTTCCCAGCACACAATGAATTCATTTCACTACTTTAACAATACATAAAGAAATAAATCATGGTGCTATGTCTTTTGTTCAGTACAGATCACAGAGTTAAGGATTTTGTTTGATGTTACCATTTAGCAGCGGTCAGCTGCATTTCTATAGGTTTATCTCTCTGTAGCATCTTCACAAAGATCTGTGGTAACAATTCTCCATCAACCAGAACTGTGGAAAGAAGAAGAATGGGTGATCAGAAGATTATTATTAGTAGTATTTATATAGCCCCCACCATATTCCATAGAACTTTACAATTAAAGAATTGGAATATCTGACAATTGACATAAAAGAGGTTAAGAAGGCCCTACTCAAACATGATTATTGCCTTGCAGCCTGCAAGGGAGAAGCTGGTCTCCCCTCACTCCCACCCTGAGTGAACATTCATGCACACTGAGCTGGTAAAATGTTCCAAACAAATTTTATAGGACCTTGGTATGGTTCCCATGACGTTAACAGGGGGTGAGCCAAGCAACTTTTCCCAGCATTTGTTTAAGGTGAAAAAACGTACACTAAAACGTTCTTTGAGCGTTTTTTTTTGGAGGCGGTGGAGGGGCATACAGAAAATGCTTCCTGTAACTCAATTTCAGAAGCCAGATGTCGCATGGGGAACCTGAAAATTGGCGCTGGAGACAATCTTTGGCGGTTTAACCCCATAAGGTAAAAGTGTGCCCGATGACCTCCTGGTACCATAACAACTTAATTTAGGAGTGTCCCTTTAACTATGAAAAAGGTTTGAAGAAATCCTTTAACTGATGAGTAAATCTTACCCCTGACACACCTGATATAACAATTGGTTGAAAGGGACATTTATTTTGGTGAGTAGGTGTAACTGGGGGAAGGGCAATAATATAAGGAAAATCTACAAATTTATAGGTGAGCAGAATAATTGTCTATAGGACGGAGTTATTTAGGGCAAGCTATATTTTATTTTTAAAAACAAAATTACTGCACATTAGACAAATATATCTGGGGACAGTATTGCTGTGGAGCTGTGTGAAACACTCAGAAGTAACAAACATGCTGAAGTTCAAGAATAATGACAATCCATACACAACACTACAAACTAACTACTAATTAATGTATACTGTAATATAACAGCCGACATATGCACAAGTACAACGCAACTGCACACAGCAAAATCCTTGGCATTGCCAAGAGACTACGAAATTTAGCTTTGGCACCGTACTACTAAAAGGTTAACTATCCCTCAACTAGAAAATTTGAAGTCAACTGGTTTACAAGTATTAAGAACTAAAAATTATTTACTCACCATTTACTAATGTCATGGATACCTGTGGATTGTCAAACGCTAAAACAGAAAAGCATTTTAATGCTTGCATGCGTACCTAGGAAGAAGAGAGAATAAAACTGTTATTAAAGTCCTTGGATGTCAGTTGCATTTAAATGTTATATCTTTGTAACATGTTTAATATTTATGGAGAAATAAGATGTAACCAAGGTGGACCTTGGAAGTGTCCTATTCAAAATGTGCTCCGTTAGATTTCTACTCTGTAATGTAATTTAAAACAATGTTATAATACAAATAAATTATGGTCCCACATATAAACCATTTGCTATATTCATAGGGGACAGATCCACTTCAACTGAAAATATTTTGAGGTTTGTTTAGTTTACATTAAAACAGTTTTTCCCTTTCAAGTCTGCTTGCTAATCAGAAGGCCAGATCTGATTTTCTCTTATCTACCGAGCATAGTGCTTGGTAATACTTAACTAACTGCGGAGTTGCCAATACGTGACCAAAATACAAAATGAGCAATGAATAATTTAATAAAAAAAAAAAAAAGAATCAAGGCCATTCAGGTTATTCAATAAAAACAGAAATCTTTTTTACTCTAGCCTTCCTACGTGTGAAGTATACAGTTATCTGTGAACTACAAGAGTCTTAATAAAGCAATAAATTAAATAAAGACACTGAACCAGAAAAAATAAATAAAATAAATGTAATCTTACTTTGTACGACATGGATGTTAACAAATGAGCAATATTCTGGACCACCCCATGATTAAATAAAATAGTCTGGTGATCTGGGGCCTGAAATAAATAAGCAAAAAGCAATCATGACAATATCCCTACACCATACTTGTCTAATAATAACACACTACACATTTCAGAGCAATCAGACAAACCACAATAGTCATTATGGAGAATACAAAAATGTAACAAATTCTGGTAGATACAATAAAGTCAGCACAGCAAAGCTAAAACAATATACATTTCACAAAAGGCAGCAGGCTTGTTTTCCCACTAAGTTACTCAGTCTGGAATGATTAAGCTGCAATAAGCAATTCTGGGTAGGGGTTTATAATGGGGCTTACAATGATGACATGTTGCATCTGTATCCACTTTGCACATGGACTCCAGAGTATGCACATTTTCTCAGCAGAGATATTCAATGACAGGGAACCCACTCAAGTACCTATTGTTCTAACCAAACATCGCCATGTGGCAAACATCATTTTGAGGCTGGAGTAGCAAGAATAAGCATTACGAGTTGTGGTGGGATCCATGTATAAAATAGGCACAAATGGCTAAAGATAGTCCAAGGAAGATGATTTTGCACATCCCTTAAAATTGTCAGCTGGATTGCTCACTTGTGGGTTTCATGGGATTCCTGTGGTTTATACTGTTCATCAGGTTGGCAATGATAGCTATGCTTACGATGCAAATCAATAATAAAAACAAAGATAATTTGGAAATACCAAAACAAAGCATAGCCCAAGAGAGGAATTTCCCAGAGAATACGGGTTTATATTAATACATAACTCTTATCATTGTAATAGGTGTATGTAAAGATTAAGATCAGAGGCTCGGCTTTAAATTTTTACCTAAACCTGATCTTTTATAGTTGTTACAATAATAAAAGCTATGTTTTCATACAAACACATACCGGTACTCTCTGGGAAAATACTCTCTGATTTGATTCAATCCTTTTCCTAGAGCTTTACAAGATTTAGCTCACTTCTTCCAAATTATCACTGTGTGATTACAAAATTTCAGAGGCGAAATCTCCTTTTAAAGCAGCAGCAACAGTCCTTGATATGAAAAACAAAGTATGGACTATTTTGACTTTATGTACTTAACTTTTGTTTTTTTTCTAAATCAGGGTAAAGGTGAAATGTTAATGCCAAGTTCTGCTGGCACTTTAACAAAATTGTTTTTACAACATAAAATAAAGTTTAAAAACTGAAGCTTCAGGCAACCCCAGAAACATCACAATCCCAAATTTTTGAAGGATGCATGAAACTACACAAGACTGTATTCCTTAATCTTTACAACTTCCCGCAGGCACCTCAGAATAAGGAACACTCTGATATATTATTTTTCAAAAAATTTTTTTTTTTTTTCCAGAATGCAATTAACAATGTTGTCATATCCAACCCAGAGAATGCCTTTAAAATAAAAATAAAAACCATGCATTTTAACAGATAAACAAAGCAAAATGTGCCTTTAATTTTATTTAAAGAACACTCCAAGCGTCATAGCCACTACAACCCTTCGTAGTAACTATGGTGTGGTGCCATGGGTACCTTCCCAGAGTTAACTGTCAAACTGTTTTACAATGATTTAACAGCTTCCCTGTGTCCTACCAGGGGCACCAATGATCTCAGTCCTGCAATAGGATTCTCCTTGGAAAAAAATCTGGTCAGCTCCACTGGGCTAAACAGGGCCACACTCATTGGTTGAGGCATCAGAGGGGAACGCTCTAAACTAATGAGCACGCTATTATATTAGCTCAGTGAACACATCCAGCTTCTCCCGCAGGAGACAAATTAATCCAGGAGGGCAAACCTGGCTCCATAACCACCACAGTGGGCAGTAGTGGTTACAGTGCTTGATACCTTAACCCCTTAAGGACACATAACCCCTTTTATTCCAGACGTTTGGTCCTTAAGGGGTTAAAGGAACAACTATAGTGTCAGGAATACAAATGTGTATTCTTGACACTATAGCTCTAAATAACTGTGCAGCATTGACCCATGCAGTATCTCGATGTCTGTCTGAGTAACTGCCACTGAAGGTGTCTATTAAACAGCCTGCAGTGGCAGGATATAGACACCAGAACAACTAAATTAAGCTATAGTTGTTCTGGTGACTATAGTGTCCCTTTAAATAGATAACACTAGCCCCGGTATTATAGAGAAAGTATTCGGTTACTCATACGACTTGGCAAACATGTATAGTGGGATACTTACCTTACAACAGTGGGCAAAAATCTGGCAGATGTACTCCTGAGAATATAGGGATCTGCTGAGTAATAGCATCAGGTGGGGGATAACAGTGGCATCCTGTGAAAAGAGAAACACAAACAGATAAATTACTGGAAAACCTATATATGGTGATTGTTACAGTAGTGCAAAATGCATGATGTGCTGGGCTGTAATAGCATTACTCCCTATGCCTGATCCAATGATGAATTAATCACATTTATTTTTATTATGTGCAATAGAGACTATGTACACATAAATGAGTGCTTCTGACAGCTTTTCTGGATGCAGACAATTTCTTTCCCTATACTACTATCCTTTAACTCTCTTCAAAATACAGATTTCCTGTTTTTATTCTATATAAAAAGGCACAGAATTTACACTGCAAACTAAATATTTAGCACTACTTTCCAACAGATTGACCCCTTAATGAGATGGCCAACGTGTACTCAAGTCACCCAGCTTGTTCACTAAACAGTAGCTTTATACTGGTTGACAGACTTAACACTTAGGACAGAATAGATTTAAAGAATAAAAAATAACTCAAATGTCTATTTTGGGTTAAAATTATGCAACACTGTTGTCAATTAGAGAGCATCTTGTTTTTTTAGTGGAAAAGGTCTCTTCAGATTTAAACTAAACACTATTTAAATGAACACACCACGCACCATAAACAACACCAGTACACTGTAGTGGTTATGGTGATATGGGCATCCTGGTGCCTCCCATTGTAAGTAGTCCCACAGTTTTAGATTGACTTGATTTCTCACCTGGGGTCTGCTGAGCGTCACTCCCCATCTCCTCTACATCAATGAGAGAGGTCCAATGCAGGGTAGCTAATTATCTGAGAATATCAGCTGATCACTCTCAGCCTACGAGTTAAACCCTGCACAGCTGGGCTTAGCTCAAACAGAGAGCTTCCAGCTTTCTAACAGAGTGAGGAGAGGGAGTGGGTTCCTGTTAAGAAGTCAAACTTCTAAAATGGTTTGATTACGTACAATGTGTTAAAAGAGGCACGATTACCACTTCAAAACAAAACAAAAACACGAATGTGTCTTTGCCAATATCTTCTGTTTTGCTATGAATGACGCCTAGCAGCTACTCAACCAGGAGTAGACACATTTAGCACAAAACACAGAGTCATGGCTGCCAGAGACCCTTCTTTTTTTTATAGTCTGTCAGAATAGGAGACTAAGTTAGGGACCATTTATTGATTGCATGCAAAGTCTATCAACAGAGGTAGCAGTAGCTAGCAAAAAATGGATGTAACACATTAAATGGCATATGTCCCAAAAAGCACATTTCATTTTATCCCTCAAATAAACTCAATCTCAACTAAATCTCTTAACTTAGCTTTTATAAAAAAAAAAAACACTTTTACAATACCTAGATTAATCTAGTGAGCATGCAACGGGGGTGTAGGTCAACAGAAAGAAATTGTTCTTACCGTATACAATAGCTCCACTGGAGTGACAGGACTGGTGAATATTGTACGAAGACACCGCAAGCAAGCTTCAATAAATCGTATGTCAGCAGACAGCAACCCTGGAAATGCAGTGTGATGTACTGGGTCAAAAAAAACGAGAAATAGAACTATCATGTCCATATACTAAGTGGGAACTGTCTGCTTAAAATTAAGGTCATCCTTACCTTGCAGTAAAGCTGGGATAATGTGACAATCTAGAAGTGACTTGACATTATTTTCAGTGCCCATGGACAAACTGCCCAGAACGACAGCACATTCTGTCTTGAGCTCAGTGCTTGAGGTCTCTTGCTGTAGCAAATATAATAACCTGCAAAGGAATGATAAGGGCATTACATAGCACACATACTTCAGAACTTAGTAAGCAGGATTGCCTGCCATAAATAAATATAAACAGGTTTTGCACACTTATGCTTCATCTTTCATATTTGGGATAGTTTTAATACTTTCTAGAAAGAGGAACTGTAATTTCCTGCATTTTTGCACTAAATTGTCAGATGATATACAATACTAATTACCATGACTACCATGAGGTGCCGTGACTGCATATGCTTGTGTACTAGTAATATGAAAGGACTTGCACAGCATGTTCATATCTACACATATACCTTATTTTTCCAAGCTCAAATACTAGAACGCAAAACTCTCCCTCAACTCCCACATTACCCCATCAGGCACATGTTGCCGTCAGTTTCAATTCGTTGTCATTCCTTACTTAGTCTTCTGATGTTCTAGAAGATACATTTTAAAATTCTGGCCTTCACCTATCAAGTTCACAACAACTCTATACCTGCACATTGACCTGCTCTAAATTGCACACACATCATAGTTACATAGCTGAAAAGAGACTTGAGTCCATCAAGTTTAGCCTTCCTCACATTTGTTTTTTGCTGTTGATCCAAAGGAAGGCAAAAAAACCCAGTTTGAAGCACAATTTTGCAACAAGCTAGGAAATAAAATCCTTCTTGACCCCAGAATGGCAGTCAGATTTATCCTTGGATCAAGCAGTTATTACCCTACATTGAAAGATTATATCCTTGAATATTCTGTTTTTGCAAGTATGCATCTAGTAGCTGTTTGAACATCTGTATGGACTCTGATAAAACCACTTCTTCAGGCAGAGGATTCCACATCCTTATTGTTCTTATAGTAAAAAAACCTTTCCTTTGCCTTAGACAAAATCTTCTTTCTTCCAGTCTAAACGCATGACCTTGTGTCCTATGTAAAGTCTGGTTTGTGAATAGATTTCCACACAATGGTTTGTATTGGCCCCGAATATATTTGTATAATGTTATCATATCCCCTCTCAGGCGACGTTTTTCTAAACTAAATAGGTTCAAATTTGTTAACCTTTCTTCATAGCCGATATGTTCCATTCCTTTTATTAATTTTGTAGCCCGCCTCTGCACTTTTTCTAGTGCCATAATATCCTTCTTTAGAACAGGTGCCCAAAATTGCACAGCATATTCAATATGGGGTCTTACCAGTGATTTATAAAGAGGCAAAATGATATTCTCGTCCCGAGAATAAATGCCCTTTTTCATGCATGACAATACCTTACTGGCCTTGGCCACTGCTGATTGACATTGCACATTGTTGCATAGTTTGTTGTCTATAACAATTCCCAAGTCCTTTTCATGTGTTGTTATCCCTAATTCGCCTCCATTAAGGGTATACGTTGCTTGTGTATTCTTTACGCCGAAGTGCATAACTTTGCATTTTTCAACATTAAATTTCATCTGCCATTTGAGTGCCCAGTCCCCCAGTCTATCTAAATCCCTCTGCAGCAAAGTAATATCTTGCTCACATTGTATTATTTTACAAAGTTTTGTGTCATCTGCAAACACTGAAACACGACTTTCAATGCTGTCTTCAAGATCATTTATAAACATGTTAAATAGAAGGGGTCCCAGAACAAACCCGAGGGACACCACTTGCCACCTCTGTCCAGCTTGAAAATTTACCATTAATGACAACTGTTTGCACTCTGTTTTTAAGCCAATGTTCTACCCAAGAACAAGCATTTTCATCTAGACCGATATCCTTGAGTTTGAACACTAATCTATTGTGTGGAACTGTATCAAATGCCTTGGCAAAATCCAAATAGATCACATCCACTGCAAGACCCTGATCTATACTTCTACTTACTTCTTCGTAGAACGCAATCAAGTTAGTTTGACATGACCTGTACTTCATAAAACCGTGCTGATTTTTGCTGATAACCATGTTCTTCTCAAGGAATTCTTGATTATCCCTTAATAAGCTTTCAAATATTTTACCAGTCACAGAAGTTAAGCTCACATGTCTATAATTTCCAGGCAAGGATTTTGAACCCTTTTTGAATATAGGAACCACATCTGCCTTCCTCCAATCCTCCAGAACACTTCCTGAAAGAAAATCCTTTTAGTCACTCTTTTCTGCTAATGATCTAAGCTCTTCTTCTGTTTACACCTGCACTTTCAACTCTCCTTTCTTTGCGCCACTTGTTAACTATGGCATCTACAGAAAGCCCAATCAATTTTTCTATTAATCACCAGTCAAAACTCGTTTCTTAAAGTGACTGGCTCATAAATTCTAAATATGCTAATAAAGAATGTGTTGGAGTTTCAGTGAAATTCCACCACACAGAGAAGAATTCATAAGACATAGTAGAGCCGACTTTGTCTTATGTATTTTTCCTACACTTGACAAAAGGGCAGAGCTACTGCTGTGAAGCTTTGTCAAGACTCCAGCCATCAGAAATGATTGCGAAGGGGAAAATGGCTTGGTCTATAGATGCTTCTGCATTCTCCCATGATCTTCCAAAGACATCGGTTCCTGACAGATGAAATACCCGCAACTGATCAACATGGAAGTGAATGCAAGGGACAGCATCAGGTAAGTACAACCTACCTTCCCTTGCACTCCTGGGCCACAGCTATCAGCAAAGTCACCACCAGGGTTTTTTGGAAAATATGCAAGCATCCCAAAATATGACAGACCCATTTTAAGGAAAGCATGTATTGACACACATTCCTCTCCTTACATCAGTCTACCTCTATCTCACCTCACACCACCTGTCATACCACACTTTTTTCATGTTAGTTATCTTTTTATCCTGTAGCTATTTCACACATCTAAGAAGAGAACTACGCCATCTCGCTTCTCTTCAAGATGCATTGCTTCCTCTAACGGGTAAAATCTTTTGAGCGGTGGGCTATTAAACATTTGATTTCCATCCATTTTAAAGGGATACACCCAGCACCATGACAACTTCAGTGATTTGAGCCAGTATGTGCAGCATTTTGCTATGAAACGCTGCACATACAGAGTTCTACCCCTCTGCCTTCACTTCCGACAGTGTCATGGGTCTCGCCAATATCAATTTTGTGCATTGGAAGTCTGTTGTAGGCACGCAGCATGCTGGTGAAAGGCGTCCAGTAGCGGAATGGCCACCCCTCTTCCTGCCCCGTCATCCCTCCCCCTTCAGCAAAGTATGGCGAAGATGAGGGGAGGAGTTGACCTCAGCACTGGAACAGAGGTTAGGTTGAATTTTATTTTTTTAAATTTGACCAGGGAGTAGCAGGATGGGAAGGGTTAACTTAACCAAAACCAATATTTTAGTTTGGAGTAAACATTTAACATGTTTGTTTTCATTTATTTGTATACATATTGCACAGCACTGTGGATTATAATGGCACTCTACAAATAATTAGTACACTAAAGCAGAGATCATTATTGTAGGTCCACTTACCTTGGGACAGCACCCAAAACAATCAGGTTAGCTTTCTGCTTGTTGTTTCCAATTACTGCATTTTTCATGTCTCTGTCAATACCCAAAACAGGATGTTTTTGAATTAAAAAAAAAAATAAATTTCACAAATCAAATACTTTAACGCACCAACTAGTTTCATAGATCACGTTATAGGCAGTAATAAAAAGGATGTATGTTAACAGTACACCTGGTAAGCTCTTGGAATTGCACAAGAGATTCCTGGTTTCACAGGTCAATGTCAAGCCATTGTGTTTATCCCAGCTACAAGAGTTTAACATAAATAAGAGTTGCTTGCAAAGTCATACTTTACTGGCTTTACAAACAAAAACATTTGTGCTTGTGTACATTAATACATTAAGTATAGGTTGTGTACAATCTATTAGGTGTAGGTCTCACAGACAGCCTGTGTATTAGAGATCATAACCTGGATTTTTATTCTCATTTTGCCCACATATTCGAAAAGTAACACAAGTTCCAAATTTGTCACTGTCCCTTTTATTAAAAGGGACACTATAGTCACCAAAACAACTTTAGCTTAAAAAACAGTTTTTGTATCATGTCTCTGAAGTTTCACTGCTCAATTCACTACCACTTAAGAGAGTTAAATCACTTTTTGTTTCAGTTTATGCAGCCTTCTCCAGACCTCCCTTGACTGTGACTTACACAGCCTGCATGGAAAAAACATGGTTTCACTTTTAATCAGATGATACTTACCGTATATACTCGTGTATAAGTCGATCTCATGTATAAGTCGAGTGCAGTTTTGTGACCAACAATTGTGAAATATGCTATGCCTCATGGATAAGTCGAGGGTAAAACTTGGGGCTATAAAATTCTGTGATTTTTATAATTATATACACACACACACACACTCATACAAACACACACTCTGCATTATATACACACACACTCATACAAACACACACTCTGCATTATATACACACACTCTGTGTATATAATGCAGAGTGTGTGTTTGTGTAGTCTGTGTGAACCGGGTGGGGGGAGGGCATTTTTATTATTTTAATTTTAATTTTTTTATATATTATTTTTTTATTATTTTAATTTTTTTTTGTCCCCCCTCCCTGCTTGTTAACTGGTCAGGGAGGGGGGGCTATCTTAATCCCTGGTGGTCCAGTGGCATGGGCTGTGAAGTGGGGGGGCCGGCAGGAAGCATTTACTTACCTTTCCTGCAGCTCCTGTCAGCTCCCTTCTCCTCCGTTCCGGTCAGCTCCACTGTAAGTCTTGCGGTCTGGTTGCCGCGCGGATCGTTGCCATGGCTCTGACGGCCGCGGCTCTCTAAGTTGCCATAATACAGACAGTGACTCAAGTATAAGTCGAGTGGGGGTTTTTAAGCACAAAAAATGTGCTGAAAAACTAGACTTATACTCTAGTATATACTGTACTTTAAAAGGTTTTATCTCTTGCTCTGTAAATGGAACTTTAATTACATACAGGGAGCACCTACAGAGTCTAGCAAGCTGTTAAAGCTGGAGATAAAATTCTAAATTAAAAAGAATTTGCATTAAAGTACGTATAAGAATTAGATGACTCAAGTTTACAGAAAGGGTATAGGAAGGATGCTCAAGTCACATGCAGGTGTGACAAGGACTGCATAAACAAAGTGATTTAACTTCTAAATGGCAGGGAATTGAGCAGTGAGACGGCAAGGCATGATCTACACACCCAAACTGCTTCATTAAGCTAAAGTCATTTTGGTGACTATAGTGTCCCTTTAGGAAAAGAATTATGAACAGCGTGTGTGCAAAACAACACTCGAGCCTCTGAAGAAAATGCATTCCCTTGGAGCAGTGAAACAAATAAATACACTGTATCTATTGAGTCTTATTTGTTTGACCGCTACCTCACTTACCTCTCCCTTTCTACCACGTAACTGCACCAACCATAACTCTCTACTACCTAGTTAGCAGAATCTCACAATCATCACAACTGCCAGGACTCTCCTGATTTATTGGGACATTTTATACAAATAATTATTGGATGTAGAACAAAAAATACCAAGCAATATCTTGATGCCAAGTCATACAGTCTACTCTACACCAAACATTTCTTTGAGTTCAGAAACATAAAGGCTCTGGTCTCTATCTGCAATTGACAGGCTGCCTCTGCCTACATTTGTCAAGTAGTAATAAGTAACATATCTAACTCTGATCACTGAGGGATAGCAAAAGCTTCTTAGTTGTGCCTGGATCAGAGTTTTAAGAGATCTCGGCTTGACTTGACTTAGTCTGATGTTACTTAACCCCTTAAGGACACATGACGGAAATATTCAGTCATGATTCCCTTTTATTCCAGAAATTGTGTTCTTAAGGGGTTAAAACCCTAAGAGTGTGCTTAACATCCTTGTACACCATGTTCCATACTACAGAGAACAGAGCCTGATTGTTGGTATCATCTTTTGGATCTATTTGTTATGCTACAGTATCATCCTCTATTCCAGTTTCCATTCCCTTTAAACATGCACCTGGGTAATGCACTCACAATATAGTTTATCAAACTCTCCTTATTGTTTTGGATTTGCTTGCCATTACATAGTGTTTTGATACTCGCAGGTTCGCTGCCAAGGTGTTCTCTTTGACTCTGACCTCTCCTTCACCCATGTCCAGTTGATCACCAAATCCTGCCGCTCGCATCCACCCCTATTTAACACCAGACGAGGCTAAGGTGCTGGTCCATGCTGTTGTTCTCTCTCGTCTTGACTACTGCAATCCCCTGCTCAGTGATCTTACATGAGCTCATTTTCCTGTCCGCCCGTACCTCCCACGCCTCCCCCCTCTGACAATTCCTACATTAGCTTCCAGTTGGATATATGGCTCAATTTAAGATTCTGGTGCTTGCTTACAAGTCACTACATAATGCTGCTCCAACCTACTTATCCCCCCTAATACACAAGTATGTCCCGTCGAGGCCCCTGCGCACTGCCGAAGACCTACATCTATCCTCTGTCCATACTCCCACATCTGATGCTCGCCTCCATTACCCCTACTTATACCTTTGTGTCACTATACCCCACTCCATCTAGCATGTAAGCTCATTAAGCAGGGCCCTCAACCCCTCTGTTCCTGTGCGTCCATTTGTCTGGTTACAATTGTGTGTCTGTTAGTCCACCCATTGTACAGGACTACTGTATTTGCTGGCGCTATATAAATAATAATACTAATAATTCAGCCTTTTCTGTTTTGATAGCGCTATCCTTTGTGGCCTCTGACCTTTTTTTTTTTGGTTGTTGATGTTGGCTATTTGATTTTCATGCCAACTGGGTAGCTAATGAATGGAGCCGTGCTTTTGGACATTTATTTACTAAAACAAAATCTTATTGTTACATTTCATATCACACATATATTCTCTTTTCCCTACTTTCTGTAACCTCATTTATAATCTTTACTTTTTTTTTCTTCCATCTTTCTTGCTCTCCCAATGTACATTTGTCTCTCTTCTTACCTGGCCACCGTATTATGTACATGGGTCTGTTTTTTGGTACTAATTTACTAAAATAGATACCAGATTACCCCTGCTCCTTTATTTCGTAAATACAAGCAAGAGTCTTTAGTTCAAAAAGTAAAAAACATTAGTCATAGTCAAGTTATATGCCATGTCCAAATGTTTTCTGGTTTTCTAACCATGCCATATACATAACTATTAATTTACTGAATTCAAAGACCAATAGAGAGTCAATTTTCAAGAAAGATTTCCTATGGAGCAATGTTGTGCAAAATTCTCTGAACCTTAATTGAAAACTGCTATTTGTATATAGATTGCACAACCATAGATATTTCGGGAAATATATTCGAAAATGCATATCTGGGATTCATTACCCCAAATTAACACATAGTGGCTATATTCCAATGCATTCAGGTTCTGTTTACTAACTTGCTTTATATATAAAAAAAAAAAATTAAACTGATTTAGACTGCAAACCATATAGTAGTAAAGACATATTGAACTTGTGCAGTGCATTTGACTCGACAATCCAGCCAGGACCCCAGAAAGAGTTAATACATGTGTACAAATTTATATGCTTCATTTCACATTTTTATATAATTTACAAACAATGCTTGCAACTGAGGTATCTAAATAAAGAATATGAGGCTATTAGCTATAATAATAATAATAACAATTGGTTTAGAAATGTTCACGAGGGATCCAATAACTGAAAAGCTCAGCAGTACAATGTGAATGCAGCAATGACTAATATATTGTCCTCCCGCTTTCTGAAATGGAATCTTTCCAAAACAGAACTTCTTGTCTTTCCTCCTCCTAATATTAATCCTCCTCTCTCGCTCTCCCTTCAGATCAGTGGTACCCATATCAGCCTAGCCTTACAAACAATTTGTCTCGGTGTTACTTTTGATTCTGGCCTCACCTTTGAGCCTCACATCCAGTCTGTTGTCAAATCATGCCAATTCCACCTCAAAAACATAGCCCGCATCCGCCCCTATCTTACACAAGATGCTACTAAAGAGCTTGTCCATGAACTACTAATCTCTCGCATGGGCTATTGTAACTCTCTCCTAACTGGTCTTCTCAATAGCCGTACTGCCCTGCTACAGTCTGTAATGAATGCTGCCGCCAGACTGATTTTCCTCTCTAGTCGGTCCTCTCACACCTCACCCCTCTGTCAGTCCTTACATTGGCTTCCTGTATACTATAGGAGTCAATTCAAAGTGCTAACCCATACCTATAAAGCACTGAATAATCTTAGCCCCTCATATCTTCTCACAGATCCATAGGTATGCCTCTTCTCGGTCTCTCCGCTCTGCCCGTGACCTTCTTCTGTCTGCTGCTCACACCCGTACGGCCAACTCACGCTTGCAGGACTTCTCGTGGGCGGCTCCCTTCCTATGGAATAGCCTGCCTACAGCCATCAGACTCTCCACTAGTTTTCAATTGTTTAAAAAGTGCCTTTAAACCCACCTCCTATAGACTGTAAGCGCATTTGAGCAGGGCCCTCCTCAACCTATCATTTCTGTGAGTTTTCTTGTAATTATCCTATTTATAGTTAAAGCCACCCTCTAATAATATTGTAAAGCGCTACGGAATCTGTATGTGCTATATAAATGGCAATAATAATAATAATATTGAGGTTTATACCTTAGTGTTTCAGCTACAGCAGTTTTAATCATTTTCATATTTATTATTTTCACCCATTCAAAACCATTATAAACTATAGTTACAATTGTTAGAATGCCGATTGTTTTTAAAATGTAAACAGTGCATAACTGTTTTTTTATTGACTTATAAACAATTATAAAATTAATATTCAAGCATTCAAATTTGATTGAGAAACTCATTAGATTTTTGTTTTAACTTACACAACTCCCTGCAGGACTTTCTGTGGATCTGGATCAAAAAGTCGGTCAACATAATGACGACTGCTTGCCGTGACCTCCTAAATAATTTGTACAAGAAAGAAAGACAATGAAAAGCTCAGTTAAATCACTACCAATGAACACTAGTAATGTCAATTCTTCTAAAGCACTAACAAGGAAGAAACATGGGCAAAAAAAAAAAAAGTGTTGTATCTTTATTAGTGGCAGAAGCCAGTTCTGCAGTTCATGAAATACAATGCTTTAGGGCTTGTAAAATATTTGCAAAACTATGCATTAACTAAAATTTACACAAAAGTTTAGTAGCATGCATTTTTAGACAAAGATTTTCCTTTTAGTTTAACAAGAACTGCAGATAACCACTTCTCTACTTCCACAATCAATGCCAACACAGAGATTTCTACACACTAATCAGCAGATTCACCATCAGAGAGGTCACGGGTACATTGGCAGAATGTAAAAACAGTATAGCAAACATTGCTCAAGTCTTGTCAATCATGGATTTAGCCACTTTTGTTTCATTGTATTTACAAAATTAAAAAAAAGTATGTCCACCCATTAAAAAACAACCTATATGTGAGAAAGAAGTAATCTATAAACTGAGCATTTTCTATTGCTGACAAATATAGTCCCCTGTTAAACCCATTTCTAATGTAAAGCAAAATATCAAGATATAACAAATTATATGAAGTGAATACAGTTTGGGTATGCATAAAAGAATTGGCCAGAGCAAAGTTATAGAACTGCAACATAGTGAGTGTCTCGGCTCACAATTAAAATTACTACCACCAAAAATAGGTACCAGCTTTTTCAAAATAGAAAGGTTATCTATTATTTTTTAAGGATTTTACTGCAGACAAGAAATATAGAATTTCTAAAGTTTTAGTTTGAAAAGATTGTGTGTCAACTGCCCTGCAAGATAAAATAATTTTTTTTTTTTTTAAAGAACAGAACAGAAGAGTCAAAGAGAGTTGATATTTTGACCTTTTCTGTTCTCATGCATAAAGCTAGTATAGGCATCTATAAATGCAACACTGATTTTAAAAAAGTACACAGATATGACCAAACTCATTCACACTTATTCTTAGAAATGACAACATTATTTATACATAAGACACTTCACGTGCAACCCTTCACCATGCATAAGTTATGTATGTCCATAAAAACATGGTGGATCCGGCAACCTTACCGCCACTACATATTATACACAAAGAGAATTTATTTTGTTTGTTTACAGATGTAGCACAATATTAAACTATTTTTATTAGTATGGATGAAGGAAGGAGGAGGATGGGGGATAGTTATCCAAACACGATTCCTCGTTAAGAGTTGTTCTTTAATTTTTGTACTTGTTTTTTAAGCAAAAAAAACAACATATTTATCTAAATTCAAAGGTGAGTTCAGATAATTTCTCAAGGATGAAAAATATAGATTCCATATTCTCTTTTCAAAAATCCTAAAATATTGCTCTACAAAAAAAAAAAAAAAAAACACGAATCAAATACCTAATGCACATACCAACTCAAAATATAGTGTAGTGCTTCTCTGACTCTTAGAATGCCACTTACAGTCTCCATAGTGATAGGCTATAATTTTACCTACAAAATATACACGTGGATGCCCCTGATTATTTTTGTGTTACCGCCTTGATGTTTTGTATTCACTCAATACTCCTAATTTATGAATGTGGCTTAGCAAACATTGTTCTCCTCTTGGACCTTTACATAGATTGCGTATTATTAAGCAAATATATATATATATATATATATATATATATATATTTTTTTTTTTTTATTATTATTATTATTTATTTATTTATTTAATACAATGCTAAAAAACTAAACTGAAAGAAAAGTACACAGGTTGATGAAACCTAGCAAAGTTTACACATTTGCCCAGTTCTAATAAGCCACAGTCAGCTCTGCATCAGGTTCAGGACTTAGAATATGAACTAAGGGAGGGACTTATTAAAGCAAAATAAATGCTATTCTGGGGGCAAAGTGCTAATAAAAAGGAGCAGTCACCATGGAAACCAATAGAATAGCTGTAAACACCGAGCAAATCTCTCATATTTTGCCATGATAAGTGTCCCCTGTAGATACAAAATACACTATTAAAGTCCCCAGAGCAGTAAATCTGTAGCTATAGCAGGACAATGTGATTATTACTAATACTGTGACCCCCAGGGGTTGTAGAGGCAGTGAGTTTTACACCAGGACACACAGTTACACAATGTGCTTGGAGTTGGGCATAAGATTGACTGGCAGGGCACTAGCCGGCTGTCCAGCGGGCCTGACCCCCAATGAGGCGGGAAGTCACCCTGCCGGGCACCATGCTGCCCCGGGGTGGGATGTAGCCTCCTCACAGACAGGCAGGCAGGCCGGCCCCTGGTGCCCAGGCTGGGTGCGGCCTCTCCCATCCCAATACTCACAGACAGCACGCTCATCCGGAGCGGAGGCTCCAGCACACACGCCATCTTGGTCATCACGCCCACAGCCGCACTTTCCACACCAGGAGAAATATAGGCAATGCCGCGCCCGGCACCGGCCGAGAGTCAGTAAAAATCACTGGGCGATGGGGACATTGAATACAGTGTGTTGATGGGGTCAGATAATCCCTGTGTGAGACTGAGCCGGAGAGCAGTGTGGAATCTGCCGAGTGAAATGTATGGCTGGGTTTACACAGAGTGACAGCTATAGGCTGAGAGCAGGAGAACATGCTGTATGGGGAGTGATAGCAGGAGAACATGCTGTATGGAGAGTGATAGCATAGACTGTATGGAGAGTGATAGCAGGAGAACATGCTGTATGGGGAGTGATAGCAGGAGAACATGCTGTATGGAGAGTGATAGCATAGACTGTATGGAGAGTGATAGCAGGAGAACATGCTGTATGGGGAGTGATAGCATAGACTGTATGGAGAGTGATAGCAGGAGAACATGCTGTATGGGGAGTGATAGCAGGAGAACATGCTGTATGGGGAGTGATAGCAGGAGAACATGCTGTATGAGGAGTGATAGCAGGAGAACATGCTGTATGGGGAGTGATAGCAGGAGAACATGCTGTATGAGGAGTGATAGCAGGAGAACATGCTGTATGGGGAGTGATAGCAGGAGAACATGCTGTATGAGGAGTGATAGCAGGAGAACATGCTGTATGGGGAGTGATAGCAGGAGAACATGCTGTGTGGGGAGTGATAGCAGGAGAACCTGCTGTATGGGGAGTGGTAGCAGGAGAACATGCTGTATGGGGAGTGGTAGCAGGAGAACATGCTGTATGGAGAGTGATAGCAGAGAACATGCTGTATGGGGAGTGATAGCAGGAGAACATGCTGTAAGGAGGAGTATTAGGCAGGAGAACATGCTGTATGGGAGTGATAGCAGGAGAACATGCTGTATGGGGAGTGATAGCAGGAGAACATGCTGTATGAGGAGTGATAGCAGGAGAACATGCTGTATGGGGAGTGATAGCAGGAGAACATGCTGTATGGGGAGTGATAGCAGGAGAACATGCTGTATGGGGAGTGATAGCAGGAGAACATGCTGTATGGAGAGTGATAGCATAGACTGTATGGAGAGTGATAGCAGGAGAACATGCTGTATGGGGAGTGATAGCAGGAGAACATGCTGTATGGAGAGTGATAGCATAGACTGTATGGAGAGTGATAGCAGGAGAACATGCTGTATGGGGAGTGATAGCAGGAGAACATGCTGTATGGAGAGTGATAGCATAGACTGTATGGAGAGTGATAGCAGGAGAACATGCTGTATGGGGAGTGATAGCAGGAGAACAAGCTGTATGGAGAGTGATAGCATAGACTGTATGGAGAGTGATAGCAGGAGAACATGCTGTATGGGGAGTGATAGCAGGAGAACATGCTGTATGGAGAGTGATAGCATAGACTGTATGGAGAGTGATAGCAGGAGAACATGCTGTATGGGGAGTGATAGCATAGACTGTATGGAGAGTGATAGCAGGAGAACATGCTGTATGGGGAGTGATAGCAGGAGAACATGCTGTATGGGGAGTGATAGCAGGAGAACATGCTGTATGGGGAGTGATAGCAGGAGAACATGCTGTATGGGGAGTGATAGCAGGAGAACATGCTGTGTGTGGAGTGATAGCAGGAGAACCTGCTGTGTGGGGAGTGATAGCAGGAGAACCTGCTGTGTGGGGAGTGATAGCAGGAGAACCTGCTGTGTGGGGAGTGATAGCAGGAGAACCTGCTGTGTGGGGAGTGATAGCAGGAGAACCTGCTGTGTGGGGAGTGATAGCAGGAGAACCTGCTGTGTGGGGAGTGATAGCAGGAGAACCTGCTGTGTGGGGAGTGATAGCAGGAGAACCTGCTGTGTGGGGAGTGATAGCAGGAGAACCTGCTGTGTGGGGAGTGATAGCAGGAGAACCTGCTGTGTGGGGAGTGATAGCAGGAGAACCTGCTGTGTGGGGAGTGATAGCAGGAGAACCTGCTGTGTGGGGAGTGATAGCAGGAGAACCTGCTGTGTGGGGAGTGATAGCAGGAGAACATGCTGTATGGAGAGTTACATCAGGATATGGAGAGCAGGATACATAGACTGTATGGCGACTGAGAGCAGAATATATAGACTGTATGGAGAGTGATAGCAGGAGAACATGCTGTATGGAGAGTGAGAGCAGGAGACCATTCTGTATGGATAATTAGATCATAGACTGTATGGAGAGTGAGAGCAGGAAAACATGCAGTATGGGGATTGATAGCAGGAGAACATGCTGTATGGAGAGTGAGAGCAGGAGAACATGCTGTATGGAGAGTTAGATCAGGATACATAGACTGTATGGAGAGTGATAGCAGGAGAACATGCTGTATGGAGAATTAGATCATAGACTCAGGGCCGTCTTTAATAACGAATGGACCCTGGGCAAGTGTTTGCTTGGGCCCCCTGTGCCCTGCCGCTCTCGCCCCTCACTCCCTGGTATGCAATCACGGCATCCATCCCAACGCAGTGGCGGTACTAAAGTAGAATGAATTTTATTGGGACCCCCAATTGCAAGGTTAGACTAAAGGTAGAACCCCATCTGTCGTGCAACTCCAACAATGCTTTGACAGCTGGGACTCTACCAATTTCCCATGTTTGCAGGGTTGTATTTAGCACTGAGCCATGTTAGTATGTTTGAATGTAAGCATGTGTTTGTATGGAGTATGTTTGTGTGAATGTGTTTGTATGTGGTACTGGAGTTTGAATGCAAGTGTGCATTTATGTGTAGTGTTTGTTTTTGAATGTAGGAGTGTGCTTGTATGTAGTGTTGACGTTTCAATGCAGGAGTGTGTTTTATATGTAGTGTTGAAGTTTGAATGGAGGGGTGTATTTGTATTTAAAGTTGCGGCTCAGATGCACAGGTACACACTCTGACGCACAAGCAGATACACAGATACATACACTGACTACATACAGATAAACAGGCACATACACTGACAGACACACTGACAGGTACATATATTGACACACACACAGACACATACACTGGTAGACGTACTGACAGACATACTGACACAGGCACATATACAGACATACTGACACACAGACACATATACCGACATACTGACACACACACACAGACACATACACTGATCAACACACTGACACACATACACTGACAGAAATACTGACACCCACACACTGACAGATATACTGACACCCACATACACTGAGAAATACTGACACACACACACAGGCACATACACTGACACACACAGACTGATATACTGACACACACACACAGACATACTGGCACACAGACAGATATACTGACACATGCACACACATGCACTAACAGACATACTGGATTTGACTGACACACAGACATACCTGACACATACTGGCACACACAGATATACACACACATATATACTGACACACACACACACAGACACATACTGACACACACACACAGACATGACACACACACACATACACACTAACACACACATACACTAACACACATACACTAACACACAAACACACACATACACTAACACACAAACACACACACACTAACACACATAAAACACACATACATACACCAACACACACACACACTACAACACACAAACACATACACCAACACACACACAAACACACACATACACCCAACACACTAACACACACACTAACACACATAAACACACACATACGGCACCAACACACAAACACATACACTAACACACACAAACACACACATACATACACTAACACACAAACACACACATACACACACTAACACACACACACACAAACACTACACACACACACACACAAACAAACAAACATTTTTTTTTTTAAATGTAATCCCCCCAGCCTCCTTACCTTTTGGAGTGCTGGGGGGATGCCCTGGGGTCCAGTGGTGCTGCTGGGCTCCTGGGCGGGTGGCCGGTTGGGCAGGAAGGCGGGTGCGCGAAGGAGCACTCACTGCTTCCTCTTCAGCTCCCTCGCACGCCGCGTAGGGATGCCGGCGCCGGAAGATGACGTCATCTTCCGGCTCCGGCATCAGTGCGGTGCGCGAGGGAGCTGAAGAGGAAGCAGTGAGTGCTCCCTCGCGCGCCCGCCTTCCTGCCCGACCGGCCACCCGCCCGCTGGGGTCAGCGGGGCCCACGGGGCAGGTGCCTCGGGCCCCCCAAGAGAAACTGGGCCCAGGGCAGCTGCCCCGTTTGCCCCGCGTTAAAGACGGCCCTGCATAGACTGTATGGATAGTTAGATCTTAGACTGTATGGAGACTGAGAGCAGGATATATAGACTGTATGGAGAGTTAGATCATAGACTGTATGGAGAGTTAGATCTTGGACTGTATAGAGACTGAGAGCAGGATATATAGACTGTATGGAGAGTTAGATCATAGACTGTATGGAGAGTTAGATCTTGGACTGTATGGAGACTGAGAGCAGGATATATAGACTGTATGGAGAGTTATCACAAATGCAAGAAATGGCACAGTAGGTGACTATAATAGCTCAAACACCCGTGTGGTATCCCCTATAAAAAGAAAAGAGACCTGAAAAAAACTGGTCAATTAAAAATTCCCTTTATATGTAATCACAGTGGAAACAATACAAAGATAAGAAGAATTATCTATAAATATTGGTCCATATTACAAGAAGATCCTATTTTAAAACAAATTCTACCTTCCAAACCTATGGTAGTATATAGAGAATGCAAAAATCTTAAGCAAATAGTAGTAAAAAGTAGCTTTACTACTAAACATAATGAGCATTTTCTAAATAAAAACAAAGGTTTTTATGGATGCGGTTCTTGCCTGGCTTGCAGAGAAACTAACCAAAAGAAAAGACACATTACCTCCTTTAAGTATCAAAAAGATAAAACATTTACGATAAGGAATCAGCTAACATGCTTCTCCAAAAATGTTATCTATATTTTAAAATGTCCCTGCGATCTTATATATGTAGGAAGAACAATTAGAAATGTACACATAAGAATTGAAGAACATATTAGAAATATAAAAAAAGGACTGGAGACACATAGTGTTTCCAACCATTTTAATTTATACCATAATAAAGATCCAAAAAATATGTCCTTTTGTGCAATAAAAGCAATACATAGAGATTGGAGGGGGGGTGATTTTAATAAAAAGATCGGAGAGGAGGAGATGAAGTGTATTTA